AGCTTTCTTTTCCTTTTCAATGTCTTCAACAATGTCCGAAAAGCAGCATACGTAATGTGATTCTGCTATTGCGCAGTTTATCAATCTGCCTAAAATTGATTTTACAAACTCAGCTCCAATGTCTGCCATCTAAATCAAATTCAACGGAGGAAAGTTAATAAAGGGCACGAAATTAATTTACAATTTCCTATTTTATATAATTTGATGTTTTGAAGAAAATACAATTGAAAATGACATGCTTTTAAAAGGCCTTATATTATACAATAATGTTATATATATTCAAATAAAAATAACAAATGCCACGAAATTAATTTATAATATTCTATAATATATATATATATATATATATATTAGTATTTTCTTATACTAGTATAATTAAATTTAAAAACTTTTATATTTAATTTATATTTAATAGATTATAATTTAATATTTCATTTAGCGTTAAATGTAAAGTTCAAATAAATCAAAAAATAGTTTTTAAATTTACATTAATTAGAGAAGATCTTTTTTCTTTTATATATATATATATATATATATATATATTAAATTTACCTTCATTAACATTAATTAGAGAAAAAAATACGATTAAAGATGACATATTTATCAACAGCCTTATTTTATACAATAATATCACGAATCTTTTATAAATTATAACGTATTGAAAAATACAATAAAATAAAAAAATTTAAAACTCAAAAAAAAAATTAACAGCAATACAAGATTATAATATTTATATAAAAAATAAAATAAAATAAATTTTTAAAAAATTAATTAAAATATTTTAAAAGAGAATAAAAAATTAAAAAAAATATAAAGAGAACGACAGAAAAAATAAAAGGAGAAAAAATTTCAAACTTCAAATAGATAATGTAATGCAATAGTTCATCAAGAAATAATTTATTTTTTCAGACAAATTAAAGGATCAAAAGATTTGATGCTAATTAAGTTAGATTTAGACAGAGTATATAATAAAATTATTTAAAATTTTATTAAAATATTTTTTAAAATGACTGATTTTGGACACTTTTATACCAATATGATTTTTTCTGGTATTTTTTTTTTTATGTTTATAAAGTGAATTTTTGTATAATATAATTTGAGATTCTCATAGTACACCAAAGGCATCCTATTAAGATATTATATTATATTATATTATATATATATATATATATATATATATATATATATATATATATTACCAACAAGAAAAAGAGAGTTATCTTTCTTGTTTATTAATTTTATCTAACGGAAGAGAATACATATATTTAATTTTCTTAAAACAAAATATGAGATCCTAAATAAGATTCCAAATTTATTTGAGAATTTAATACCATTTTGTTGATTGAATTAAATCTTTTTTATATATATTAGAGAAATAAATAATAAAATTATCTTTATCTATACAATGGTTAAAAGTATTAGAAAAAAAAATTCAAATTATCAACTGAATTTTACTAAGCGAAACCTCAACAAATAGAATAAATTATCAACATAAAATAAATAAGATAATTTAAACCCTTTCTATTAAAATAAAAAAGAAGCTTTCACTCACTAATATGTAGTTTATGTTGGATACAATGAGTCATTCTTTCTGTACAAATTACACATGCATAAGGAGTCTTCAATGGAATAAACCGCTATCAATTCTAATTAAATAAAAATAAAAATAACCTTCATATCAATTTTTATAATTATTTTTTGAAAATAAAAGTAATAGATTTTTATAATAAAAAATTTATTATATTAAAATTATAAAAATATAATAAATATTTTTTGAATTTGAGATTAATAATAATAAAAACGTTAAAACGAAAAAAACAATTTTTATCCATAGAGCTTTGTATCAGAAGATGGTGAAGAATTAAAAATTGAAGTGGCAAACAAGACCTCAAAAAGTGGACTTAAAAAATTAGGAAAATAGAAAAGTTGAAGAAATACACTCACATTGATATTTGAATTATGCACTTTTATATATTCAAGAAAATATCAGCAAGAATCGTTGCCAAAGGATTTGCACTATGCTATTTCATATTATGCACTGTCCTTCATCTCCTTCTCCTTGCATCTCAACACATTTATCTTCCTTCATATTATCCATGCACCTTTTCTTCCTTGCATCTGAACTCAAATGAACATGCATCTGATCGAAAATGAACAAGCAATAAATCAATTAGTTCTTCTTTGAGGCGTATAAGTTTGGAACAGAAGATGATGAAAAATCACAAGACAAAGTAACAAGCAGAACGAACTCAAATGATAATGCATCTGATTGAAAATAGAAATTAGCAGAAGAAAAGGCGACTATACAATTCTTCTTACCCCATTTTGGAGAGTTTGAGCATCAATTTTGATCACTTTGCTCAAACATTATGATCCACTGTTCACTACTATATTCGTTTGCAAGTCTTGGCCACATCTTTATTATCTCTTGTGAGTCCAAGAGATAACCATTACATGTACTCTTTTTTTGTTATTCTTTGGTTTTAATTAACAATAATTAATTAAAGGGTAGTTTAAATGATCACATGTACTCTTCCTTAATTAATTAATTATTCTAAATAATCATTACTTAATTAAAAATTTGTCATTTATAGTAATTTTACATAATTTGGATATGATTGTTTGAAATGTTCTCAGAAAAAATAAATAAAATAAAAATTTAAAAGAATCCATGCTCCTCACGAGTAGGCTTCATTAATACTATAGAAGATTGGAAATTAAACCTGGTGAGTCCTTTTTTTAACATTTCAATCTGCTCCATTTTACCTTCAACAAATTGAGCATAAGTGAAAAGTTTAAGTTAAAATTTTTAGCATGTGCAAAAGTGTATGAGTTGAAGGAAAATACAAGTAAACACGTGTTAAGTATTTTATTTGAATGGTTATAAATTCACGTTGACTTTTGGAAGACTAGGAGTTCCTTTTATTAAAAGAAGTCTTTGCCTTTGGATCATACTCTGAGTTCTGAGGAAGATGAAAAGCCATAAATTTTTTATTCATTTTCTAATAAATATACTCTTATTAATCATTTTTAAAATAAAATAATAAATTAACATAAATTAAATGTCTTAACTTTTATATATTTTTAGGAATATTACATAACTTTCTAAATTTAAAATGAAAAATATTATCCCCCTTTTTTTGGCTTATAAACATCGTTTTGAATCATATCCTCAGTTGTTCATGGTAGGCATGGATAAACTTTTGGAACATAATCAAAAATGACAATTTTGAACCCAAGTTTATGAATACGTAAGGTGAATTTGTTGGTCATCATCAATCACCGTACATGAACTTCGTCCCTAACTCCGAAACATTCAATGGTCCTAAACTTACAATGATGATGGGTACATATATAAGAGCATTTGTGGCCCAATTTGAAGAAAACATGGATCTTGGCCCAAAAAGAACTTTTCTTTAATTTCAATATATTTACATGGCCTAATGTACGAATTGTTAGTTTCTTACTTTCTTTTTACCAAAATCCACATGGCTAAGTTTGTATTTATAAAAAAGAGACTTAACTTTCATGCATTGGTTTCATTCATATATTTTTACAATCCCATTTTTCCATTTTAAAATATGTGTGACTTCCATTATAATCAAGAAATAGATATGTTGAACTAAATTTACTAAATAAAACATTAGAAAATAATTTTGTACCAGCAAGAAGTAAAGAAATTACATTTAATTCTTTTTTATTTATTTATACCACAAGTATATTATATAAGAAGCATTCTTATTCAAGTTAAGGAGAACTATTATAGGCAACAAAATTCTCTATATAAATATTTAACATAACTTTATACCTGAAATCAAAACTTGATACTAATAACTAAGCTAAAACAATCTCAATCCTTGCTACCCTTGATTGCAAAATCCTAGCCAACAAATATCTAAAGCACATTCTTTCTGTAATTTGTGATACATCTAAATTAGCATGTTGCCATGATTTCATGACCACAACATAAAATATGGCAAGTTTCTTGGTGACAATCACAAAATCCTACTATTGTAAGATTTGAGAGGCAGAATATCCCTACAAACTTGCCACATGAAAATTAGCTTATACTAATTTAGGAGAAGGAGCTTTCCATATAGTTTCCTCCATAAATAAGCATAGGTACCTACATACCCCAAACCACCAGACACAGTACCCATCTCCTCAGGAGCAGGTCTTTGGATATTTTCAGTAATTTCAAACAATAATGCAGACTTGACATCAGAAAGATATTTCTTGAAAATTGTTGTTTCTTTTGTTCCTTGCTTCAAGAAATCATTTGACATCATTGAACATCTTAAAATTAACATATATTTGAGTAATGCTAATACATATTTAGGACACTACTAATCTCCAATTTGAAATTTTCATACAAACACGCTTTTTGCCACATTTACATGCATGTGCTCCATATTAATTGATTAGACTATGCCTAATGAAGTGGTAGGTTTATACAGCACAAATAAGAAATAAGTCAAACTAACTCCCATTCATAATCACTAAAAAAGTTGTTAGACTTGACACATACACGTCATAACTCGCTTCACCTGTCATATGAAAGCTCAATTCTTCTATCATAGCTAGCTACACAGTATCATTTATCAAATATTGGACACAATTTCAAATTTTTCTAAACTACAAGGTAGACTAAAGGCAATTTTTTTAAAACTAAATCACAAGAGAATGAAAAGAAAGAGAGGAAAATAATCAACAGAGTAATATTAATTAAACTAACTTAATCATTAACAACTTATTATTAATGAGAAGAAAATATTTGGTGCAAATAACATTTCTCTCATTTAATTTCGATAGAAGAAATGTAACACAACACACAAGATAACATAAAACTCTCCATATATATATTATATATGTGAAGTGACCAGCGGGTGCCATATAACCACCTCAGCTACTTTGTAGACCAATAAAATAAAACACTGGCCTTTCAGAATCACGGTTACAAGAATCAATAATACCTATTATGACACTTTATGGATCTGCCAATGAGGAACTTAATAATAGGTACACAAACATTTTCACTATTCTACCCCAATTCAATGTCTAAAATTGGCCACCTTGGAAGGTTTGGCCAAACTGCCAATTGGCTGGTGCTGCATTGTAGCTTGTCACGGTTCTACCATCACTTGTGGTAACTTGAAAAGAGAGGGATTGTCCATTGAGGTAGGAGTTGCTTTGCCAGTTTTGCCCCCAGTTTCTTGACATGGGTTGCCACCCAGTTTTAGACCCTTTGATGGACACTGCATGGACATCACCAGCTCCACCCACATTGGTGACCAAAACAAGGTTGAAGTAAGAGTGGCCATTGATTGTGAACCTTATTCCTCCCTTTTTGACACAAGGCACCCTGTGATCATCACCAAGAGTAAATTTTAGTTCAAAATGGTTAAACATTTGAACAATTAAATGGTCAATAATAAAATATGGTTCATAAAGATATAGTAATTATGTTATTCTAGTCCTTTAACCTAAGATCAATTTGATATATGTAAGTTGGAAGGTGTGATTTGGTAGAAGATACACCAATTTTTATATGTTAATGAATATAATCCATGTGCTAAATAGAGAATAAGTGCTATAAATTAGGTAGCACAATTGTATATCTATAAGGGAATTAATGGCACCTTTAAGGTTGAAAAAATTGCCAAATTTTATGGCTTCAATTACCTTCTAAAGGCCACAGGCACAATTCCAGCTCTATATTCAGCAATTTGAAGAAATGCTGGTTCAGCCATATCAAAGTGTTGCAAAGGAGGGTTGCACCAACCACCATTGTTGTTTGGCAAAGATGGGTTTGGTGGACAGAAGTTAGTAGCAGTAACAGTAATAGAGCCAGGTTTGCACCATCTTGGGTCATCATCACATCTCATTTCATAGCAAGACCCACAGCTTAAGCCATTGTTGAACAAAGCAGTGCTTAGAGCAACAGTGTCAGTTCCATAACCTTGGCTATATAAATTCCCATACCCACATGCTCCACCTGCATATTATATGAAACAAAATGATAAACCCCACCAATTCTCAATGATCACACTATCTAAGAAACAAAGTAACAAAGAACAAAAGTATTTTTAACAAAGATAAATAAATTAGTGTTGCTTGGTCCATGGTAAATTCTGTGTGTAATTTTTCCCCCTCATGCACTTCAATCACCACACGATAGGCAAGGATCAATTGCTAAAAATTTTACTAACTGAGATAACTGAAACCTTTGACGTGACAATATATTTTTCATTTGAAAAATAATTAAAAACTATAAGTACATATATTTATAAAATTTAGTTATGAAAGTTAACGTCCTCACAAGTTGATGATATTATAGTGACACATAAAAGGGTCAAAGAGTTCTTTTATTTTGGGCAATTAAAAAGTATATTATATGCCATATAGTTATTTTTACCTCTTATTTAAATTACATTTCTTTTACATACATACTTTTCAAAATTACACCGAAAGAAAAAAAGATAATTAAAAGTTACACTCCTAAATTATTAAAAAAAAATATTATTAAACTACTCAACATGTAGCGCAACTAGAATAGGTTTAGTTCAAGGTGTGTACATTTTCATTTTATAGAAGAAAAATCAAAGCTTTACATTTTATTTCATTCCATGAACTATTAGATACCAAACAAAGTCCTAATGTAAAAGCACAAAAAATGAAATGCTGAACTCACCCATTGTGCCAGAAGCATCACCCCCTCCATAGAAAGTGGCATGAGCACTCTCCCAACCACCATAATCAGCATTGGCACCTTGAAGGTTCATGTTAATAATGAAGAGAACAATGAGAATCATTAGAGCAATGGAAAAATTGTGGTGTGCCATTCTAAGCTTATGATGATAAAGCCTAAACAGGGGAGAAGAACAGGGGATGGTGCACTTTGCTCTGTTGTGAGGTCTAGTGCCTAAGGAGGGGCCTCTATTTATAAGTAACAACTTATTACTAACATACACATAAGCATGCTTTTTTCCTAAAACCATAGAACAAGTGACAAATCAAGTGCACATGTGCTGGTTCTAGTTGGGGTTCCCAACTGCTAATTTGGTGGGACATACCCCTGCACATGCAACTCCAACCATCTTTCTTCCCAACTTTATAGACCAATATTAATATTTTATGCTAGCCAATAGTTTAACATTTGTTATTTTTTAAAGATATTGTAAAAAAATTATTAATCTTTAAGGTTGATTTTAAGTGTATAAAACTAATAATTTTTTATTTAAAAATTATCATATTTTTATAATTTGAATGTTATAAATGTTTTTTTTTTAATAAAACTCACTAGTTTTTTTCTCTAGACTACATACCATATTTATTGAAAATAATTGTATTTAAATTGGAGACAATTATAAAACAGTGAGACTAATTATCTTGGTGAAGATTTTTTATGTACATAAAATTTGAATATGAGACTTGATTTAAAAGAAAATTAAGTATATATCTCTTAAATCAATTCTTGTTATTTTTTTCTTTGTTTATAATGGATAAATGGATAAGATGCTAGGAATCATTAGCTTGTGCTTGGTGTTAAGAGTCCCAATGATAAAATAGTCAAAAGCTAAATTGCACTTTCAATAGAAATTTGGGTAGGGTCTAAAGGAAATGATAAACAGTATCTTAGCACATGGAGAAGTATTTGTCTATCTTGCAAAATCAGAAGAGGAAGCTGCTTAGGACATTTGCATGGTGCAGCTCCCCTTTTCCAGTACTAAGGATCAAGAGGGGATAGGGAGTAGTATCTTCTCTGTGCTTGAGAATGTGCCACATAGGTAAGATACAAGAAAGCGTGTTCATTTATTTTATTTATTTTATTTTTCAGTTCTTGAATATAATTGAAGTGTTTGGTTGATAATTTAATAGAAACAGCCTTGCTTCCAGTTGGAAAAAGCAATGGTTGTCACACATACAAAGGTAACCCTTGCTCGTGTGTGTGTGAGAAATAAACAATACTAATTACTTGACCCTGCCCACTGAGAATTTTTTAATTACATTAATGTGGGAGCTTTTTATTTGGTGGAAGATCATGTCCAAATTAGGTGTTGCATATATTACACTCACTGATTTACAAAAAAACATGTGGACAAACCATTATATAGTCTTATAAGTTATTTCTTAAACTCCCTTTTTATTATATCACATGTTGTAAATAGATTGATAATGTTTCTCATCAGAAATGGAATTAAAAGAAAAAAAAAGGTTAAAAGTGATAAATGAATACTAATTAGATATTTTATCAACCAAGCAAATTCTAAAATCAACGTGATGTTTCTTTTTCTCCCTTCTTTGAGACAAGTCATAGTTCCTACTGGCACTATAGTTTAACTTACCAGATGAAAATTGAGATACGTTTCCAGGTAGAAGAAATGAATTTAGTCTCTTTTAAATTTTATTATTATATTGAGACCAGGTATTCTTGATCTTGTCTCACTATATGTTTCATGAGCATGCTACCACCATATCATGTGTCAGTAATTTGTTCATTAAAGAAAATTAAACTAAAAGATCTTCATTCTTCATATTCTCAACAAGTTCATTGTTTTGTTTTGTGTGTGTCTATATATATATATATATATATATATATATATATATATAAGAGGATTCTTGCTAAAATGACGAATCAAATGTGATACAAGAGATGAGGCAAACATTGTGGATATGTTTTGTTGACACATGTTTGATGTTTGGTCACATAGATGCAATAGCCAAAAACTTGTATTGGATTATTGTTAATACCTGAAAGCTTACGTTGCTGATGCCAAAGTACTGACCAGTCCAAAACAACTATAACATGGCATTTTTAATATCACTCTCATCTTTCTTTCTTTCTTTTTTTACTTTAAATTCTTTTTAAAGATGAAATTATATTTTTCCTTTTCATGGTTTGGTGAAGATTCACACTCAATGTCTATATAAAGAAATTTGAGCTTAGTAAAAAGGACTTTACAATGTATCCTTTTAATGTTAGGGTGAATCCATGCACTTTAATTTTGTCATTGGATTTGTAATGTGTATTTATTTTGTTCATGTTCAATAGTAAAATATTCAACGTGCAAAGATTTACTCTAAGAAAAGGGTGCATTGTGGAATTTTGTAGAAAAATGATATTCAAAAGATTGAGTTTATTGGTATTAAACTTTTATTTGTTTTGCCTAACTAAAATCAAGTTATTCATATCAAAACAAAAGCCATTAATTTATGAGAGACTTTTTCGGCCTGATGTCAACAAGTGACACAGATAAAAGATAAATTAAAGTAACTTGTTTATAAAAATGATTAATGTTTCTTTAGTATTCAAATGTCCAAAATTCATAAACCATAACAAAGGAACTTTTGCCGTTCAACCACATCATTTTTAATGATTAATTTGGTGGTTCAGTTAATTATTTTCTACATAACATTTTAAGAATAAGATCATTCCAAACTACTATGTTTGTATTCATATAATTAACGACCGACACAACACCGGTAGGTAAATTTACTCAAAAAGTTTAAGTGTTGAAAATTCCTTGAGAACACAAAACTATATAGCTTTTCTGTCTTTTCAAATGTTACTTTTTTTTGCTAACGTTTGATCCATTTGTTCGGTTATTTTATTAGTTAAACTGTGCTAGTCTGTTCATAAGGGAGAATTTAAATAAAGTAGGATGGTTGATGCTTAAAGTAGCTTCACTTTAATGATGTAACCAAATTGTAAACCTTGTTGATCATTAATTAGTAATAATCAGTTTTCAATTGCTATAAACAATACAAGCATAGCAGCATGATATATTTTGAAATTGAACTATAATGCATAATTCTTTATTTCTTGCTCTAAATGACATTGACAAGGACAATACAATGGCTATTATTGCAAAACAATGCTTTGGAGAGTGTCACATTTCCTTTCAAATCAAATAAAGAGAAAATAGCTTCTGACCGACTTCTGTGGGAACTCACTCACAAATTTGTTAATTCATTTTCATATCTTTTTCATGGTTACAACTTTCCATGATAAGGACAGAAGAGAAGTGAATTAATCTCACATGGATGTTTTCACTCGTGAACAAGCAGCAAAAGTCTATTCACCTTGTGCTCCCTTTTTTTGTTTTTTATTATTCAATGAACTCTTGAATGTATATAAAAACTCACTAAAATATGTTAAAATATATTATATTCTAACGTAAAAATTATAATTTGCAACTTTTAAATGTTTTTATATGAGTGAATTTAACCATAATTCGAAGACACCATAAGCAAACAAAATATAATGGGAAACCAAACCATTCGTGTGAGTTGCATGATCGATTATGGTGAATTTAGGACATATCCATAAAAGTTTCTCTCTTTGTGTGATAATTATGTCATTATCATAAGAATTAGGTGAGATGATCTATGATATTGTTATAAGACTCCTGTTTCTTATAAATACTTAATTAATGAATCAAATAAGAAATCTCTACTTCTATTTCCAGCTCTCATGGCCACTTAAATTCAAGTGATTACTTGAAAGGCTTCAGTTCGTTTATTGTTTTATATGTTTGGTGGATTTTTTATTTTTTATTTTTTATTTTTCAAAATTCCTTGTAGACCCTTTTATCAATTCAATGTGCATCATCATTTTTTGGTATATCATTATTAATTCACATAAAACAGCCTCTAAATTATTATATGGGACATAATAGATAGAGAGAAAGAGAGATTAGTATGTCATGTTATTATTAAAGTGTACCTTAAAATGGATTGGGAAGAAATTAAAGACAAACTTAGTGTCATTTCTTATTCCTAACTTGAAAAAGTAGAGAAAGGGCACAGTAGCTGATGAAATTATACTGGACCCTACCATGTTAGAGGCACATGCAAGTTTCGGTTTGGCCTTCTCTCAAATCTTAATCCATGTCCTTTCTTTTTACTATTATTTTTCTTCTCTTTAAGATTTTATGAACCAATCAATCATACATACAATACTCTCACTAGTATGTACATGAACTTAGAAGAGAATCCTCCATTGTAATATATTTTTTCCTATCAAAAAATCCAATTTTTGTCACATCCCCGAAGGAATATGCCCCCTTTGTAGGTTGGGATCTTCTTAGACACCTTCCCTAAGGATTACATAGGCATAACCATATCTAATTTAAAAGGCATGAAGCTTAATAAAAAGTTAAAACATTAAACATTTCATCCCCTAACAACATATATATATGAAATGAATCTTCCATGATGCAAAGCCATTCTTAGTCCTTTTGTAAGGTAGATATGGACAATTTTTGTACATGAGGAGCAAGGGAAAATGACAACCCCCCCCCCCACCCCCAAAAAAAAGACCCTTTCTTAAAAAATTGAACAAAAATGAAAACAAAAAAAAAATGAAGTAGGATAGGAATTGTAGGAACGTAACAAGTGATGAAAGTGCAAGGTCTATTATTTAATTAAAACAGAAACTCAATAAGAGACACCAGATTTGTTTTGTTTCTGTTGTTGGTTTAGGGATCAATGAAAGTTCCCTTCACAAGGGATTGTCCCAAATTCGGTCCCATTGTTATGGCAAAGGGCCTTGTAGATGACTTTGTGTGGTAGGTTTTTGGTCTAGGACAGCTGAATTATAGATAGAACACATATATGGAACCAACCTGAGCCCGTGTTAGGGTATGGATTCGTACAATGAGCAAACTCTAAATTTGTTCATCTTTTTTAACCTTGGAGATCTTGTAGATCTGATGAAATGTAGCAAAAATATATGGGTCATAGTCATGCAATATCCAAGGTTTGCATCATTTATGTCCACAAAATTAACCTAGCTATTCACAACAGTCTCACTAAGCATATGTGCAATGTTTTGTGGTGGAGTTTTCTCCCATGATTGCTAATTGGAGTTCAATTTTAGGAAAGAAATTTAACTAATAAAAAAATTTAGGAAATCAGAACAGTAAAAAACATCAATTAATTTGTAGTTATACTAATTTATGTTAACATTGGGTCTATTTTGTTAGAGAAAATATCATTATTATTTTCATATGTATTTTTAGAAAAAAAAAAAAGTGATTCTTTTTGTGATCATTAGTTAAAAAAAAAAAACTTTTAAAAAAAATCATACAATTTTAACATCGTATTTGCACATGGATTTGACAATCGTGCTGGGCTCAGAACTCATCATCTTACTTTCACTAAACACTAAGCAACGTGATATAATCAAAATACCACTGTGCCCACGAAGTGAAAACCAACAATTATGATCAAATAATGAAAATCACGCAGACGTAAGGTGATGAATTTGTGCGTAGTATTTAACCAGATTTAGATCGTTGAGAACACTACTCAAACGTTAATATGGGTTTCCTCGGATGTCAGATACAAGACTTTCCACCAAACTGAGGCATATCTAGTAACCAGTTGGGGAACATGCAACACTGCAACTGACTATTGATCTTTTACACCTAATCAAACATGCAAGAACCATAGTTCGTTCCACAAGAAGTAATTCTCCCGTCTGTTCCATGTTAAAATTAGTTAAGTTTTGTTATATCATTTTACATACTCTGAATATTTTTTTCTTATGAAAATAAATAATAAATACATGATTTACTATCTTAAAAATATTAATACTTTCCTCATTTAATAATTAAGAGAATTTATAAATATAAAAAATGAAACAAAATAGAATTATTCAAAAAAAAAAACTACATCATCACTTCAAAACCATATGTCAAGGTAATTTGTGCAGGCATACAAGCAATTTCTAATTACGACCATAGGAAAAAAAATTGTTAAAAAGGATGGAGGAAAACAAAGAAGAATTTTAAAGAAAATGATTGAAAGAAATCTCATGATAAATAATATATTTAATAATTTCATTTTGAGCCCAGTAGCATCAACTGATCTATGTAATCAACGTTAACTAATTAGATACAACTTTTGTTGCTCAAAAAATGAGGAATTTTAGGAACTTGTCTTTTCTCAGACATTGTAAATGTTAAATTTGTTCTTAAAAAGCAAATACAAAGGCTAGGAATAGTAAAAGAGACTAGTCCCTTACAAGCAATTTAATGGAAATTTTTAGATTATGTACACATGATAATATAGAAATGAAAAAAAAAATGGTCAGACATAAATTTATCGGGCCAAAAATGCAACACGGTCCTTCTGTACTGCCTGCGTTAGGTTGATATCAAAGAGCTCGCAACGAATAGGCATCTCCATCTCATAGAAAGGATTCTTCAAAACATAGTCCGTATACAATTCATAGACAAATTTCAATAAACTTTCCATGTGCTGTGCTCCAGGCTCACATACCACAAAAAATTTTGTCCCTGTGCGGGAGAAAATTCATTTTCAAATCATCAATATCAGAAGAAGTAACTAAGGGGGAGAAAAACATTAGATTGTACATGATCATGTTGCCACACACTTAACAGAATATCAAACTGACTAACAATGGAAAGATGGACCCATTAAACTGACGAGTCTGCAATGAATATGCAAAGGTAACGCATGGAAACACTCAAACAGCAGCCCAAACATCTAGATTCCAGAACATTTTCAACTCTCAAGAATTTAAGTTCATTGATCCAAAAGAACAAAAGGGGGCATAAAAGAAAATGATATCACATACGAGCAATAGGTGTCATTATCTGAAAAATTACTGCATAGAAAATTATTATAACTACTAGTAAGAAAAAATAATAATAATAATAATAATATTCAAATACAAACAACAGTGCAAGTGTGCATATTAAGTGGGATTACATAGAAGGTCTTCCATTTACTACCTTCCACGATGTATAGTTATATACTGGGTCACATAAACAGTAAGTAGCATTGCTTGCAACGATGACCCAGCCTTCGTTCCAACCTAATCATTCTGAAGTTCTATTCTAAATTCTAAGTCATAATCAGGCAAGTCAAAAATAATTTATTTCTAAATTTGCAGTATATACAACTGCCAAAATATTAGCTGGGCTTCACCAAACAATGAGGTTTAGGTGTTTCGCCTATCAAGACCTTTAAGATAGAACCATGATTCTACAAGTAAAATCTCAAAGCAATCAAGTTCATGTTTTTAATAAGCACCTTAAAGTAATACTTATGTTACCAATAACTATCTAGAGCTTCTGATATACTTTAACCATCTTTAATTGAAACATGATCATACTAAAGCTACCTGCAAGCTTCTGATATGCATGTGTGCATGAAAAACAAAAGCCGGTGCCAGATATTACAAATAACGATGAGGTTGCCAGATATTACCAATATAAATTGGATGCTAAACATTCATTTTATTCATCAAGTACATTACAAAGCTAAGAAGATAATGAGGTAAAGAATAATGTTATAAAATACCTGTCAGTGATTGAAAGCAATGAAGATCAAATGTATCCGCTTGGAGAAGTTCAATTCCTGAACAACCAGAAACAGGTGATAACTGCTGAGAGATAGCATGCATTGAGTGCCATAAACTTGCCACCCGCAAGCTGTCATTGGTATCCATTCGTCCAGCAGACCCATAATCCTAAATGTCAAGAGAATTAAAATAATTCTAATGGATTCCATTTTAAAAGAAAAACTTCACTGCAACTATAACTCAAATATGGAAAATGATTTCTCAAACACCACATGTATATACTGAGGAACCAGTGGGATGAAATACAAAAGTAAACTTAGCAGCTGAAGCTCAGTCTAGAAGGTGAATCAAAATATGATACCTACAATGCAAGATTCTTAGCTCATCAACCAGAAAGAATGATACAAAAACAACAACAACAATGCTTTCTGCCACCAATTTCAAGGGGATATAAAATTTCTTAGGAACCCAACAGAAGTTTGCATTAGCGAGCAACAGAAAGAGAATTAAAACAAGCATACCTTATAATAGATCAATCCACCAGACTTATTGATGATGTAAAGACTATAAATCGCTGCCATTCGAGAATCTGAAATAGAAGGGAGGATAGAGTTTAACGGGCAGTGTTCAAAGATAAACTCTTGTAGTTACCACATTAACAATATCTCAGATTTCCAGTGAAATTAACAGCCAACAAACATCATTGGGAAGACCAAATGAAGATAATCATGAAAATAAACTATTTAAAAAACAAATCAAGATCCAAAAGTTCCTGAAGAACAATCAAAGAGATAATTAACATCACAACAATTACAACATAAGCCCAAAAAATAAGAACCCCAATCTACGACTTGTTTTGACAGAAAAACGACATTTGATTGGAGAAAAGAAAAGGGGGGAAGCATACAAAATGATGTATGTAAGAACTACAAGTAATCATACATCATACACCAAATCTGTCACACATTCCCTTCCCTTATAATTTTTTGTCTACTTTCTTATGGGGATCAAACAGATGAAAAATCAAGTTGAATCAAGGCGCTAACTTTAGCAGCTTAATTACATAATTCCATACTTAGATTTGTCAAGAAAACCTAACTCCAGTAACCAACCATATTTAGAACTCCTATATGAACTAGTAAGGAACTCAACTGCGAGAGGAATCAAAGAAACCCAGCAATTAGGCAAATCGAAGCTTGCATTAAAGGGGCAATTGGTCTAAGACCTAAAACTAGGTTATAATTTTCAAATAAATAAAAAAATCACACTCTTCGATCTATGCAGCAAGATCACAAAAGTGAATTTGGCAAAGGAACCTGAGATCGATGAACGTGACGCGATTTGTGAACGGATCGGAGTCTGAATCTGAAGTCACTCGCAACGGAATTTTCAGCTACGGCTATGAATATGAATATGATTACCACTCTCAGTCACTGACAACGCAGCCACAAAACAACGTAATAATGTGTTTCTTTTTTATTTATTTACATCATTGTCACGTCGCATTTTAAATAACTCTTTTATAATATATTAAAATTTACATTTAAATAGATATCATTTTACAGTCATTTGTATATTAAATTTTTATTTCTAAATTTTTTATATTATTGGTATAAAATATCTTATTGCGAACTCGCAGAGAATTTGCCTTTGATAAAAAAGAAAATTCAAAAGGTGGCATGAATCCAAATCGCTATAGGTTCCTTTATTTTTTTTGTCATTATTTAATTACTTACTCATTATTGGTCCTTGAAATGTTAAATTATTTTTATTTATACAGTGAATTATTTCGAGTAAAGTTGAGTAAAAACTGTATATAAGAAAAGCTAATCAAGCCATATTATGAATATTTTCAACTTAAACACGATTACCTTACAAAAAATACATGATATAAAAATTGAAAACTAATTTCCTTCAGCATATTGGTTCTCTTCCTAGCATTACATTTAATTTTTATCTCATTATCTTCTCTCCATTTCTTGTTGAAATCTGAAAAGTGGCAGCCAAACATAGTTTGACTCATCGTGTTTACAATGTTCACAATATTCAAAAGTAACATCAAACTAAATATAAAAACACGCATACACCACTCCGCAAGTGATCAAATATACAATGTACAACCTTTTTAGTCAAATGGACTATAATAGCTCATTAATCAAATGAATGACTCAAATAAATGTAATTTACATTTAAAAAATATCTGTGATTGCAGGTAACACATTTTCAGTATTTCCCCTGCAGTAAAAACCATTAATTGATAAATGATGGCTCTCTCTGGTTCTAGAAGCCTTTACTTCAACACTTCAACACTTCAACATACCACATCATCAAAGTTAAAAACTTGGGCAAAACTTGGATTGCATCTTAAAAGCTGCTGGATCTGTGATGACCTGCACAGATTCCGGTAGCGATTTGTCCTCTTTCAAATCTGTGTTGCAACCCCATAACCGAACTAGTAGCCGCCGGCACTTGGGAGATGACTGTTTAAGATAAGTCTTGTACCAGTCAACAACATCATGCTTGCTTATGTTCCCCAATTCTTCTGCTTCCTTCTTTGACAAATCAAAGATATACCTGAAAACCATAATATTTTATAATCATATAAATTATCATTGTAGCCACAAAATGTGGCTAGTAATGACATTTCTTTAGACTAGCTAACACTCTTCAGCCATCCTTAAACTTCTATTATGACTAAGCAGAAATTGTTTCAAAATAAAAGGAAAGATTCAGAAATAACAAGAAATAACAAAATGTTTAAATAAAACATATCTAGCAGCTGAGTCATGTAGGATCTTTTTTCAATAAAAGTAAGCACCTTTTTTCAACAATCTGGCTCCATATTCTATTGCCTTCATAAGTGAGTGATGGATCTTTCTCCAGCAGCTTTGCCATTAACCCACTTTTATAATTCTCAAACGTATCATCATCAAGCTCTTCCTGCAATCCCAATATATTTCTCCAAAACATGAGTCTTCGTTCAGCAAATACACATTTTCAATAAATATTTTAGACAAGGGAATCCCAAAAAGCTAGTCAGAAACAGGCCCAGTAGCCACAAGGCACTGACTCAAGGATTAAGCACAAAAAGGCCAGTCGTCAAATAGAAAGTACATGCAATGAAAATAGGAATAAAAGAGCAACCCCATGGATAATTATCGTGGGTCAACAGTGCTGCTATACTGAAGCAGCTAACAGTTATATTCTGCATTTTAAAGCTCTTGCCAAAATAGACTTCTCTGACAACAATAAAATATTCTTGGAATAAATTCTTTTGACATCTTATATCATTTGCGATGTAAACTCTTTTTCATTGAATTTGATACAACTGCTATACGCAGGCACTAAACAGGTAGTAAGATTTCCCATTTTCTGAGATCTGGATGAAAATCAATTCAAATTCGACCTATAACAATATTAATGTCATCATAGGAGGGGGATGAAAGATTTCAGATCTGCATATTACAACTTCACATTTAATTATTTGCATATATTCCCTTCTTTCTCAAAAATAGCAAGGTGGGCTTATAACTTCTAAAGAACCTTAGTCATGTTAGCTTAATTGCAATTCATAGGGAAGCAAATAAGCTAAAAACATGGAGGTTGAATGAATCAGGAACACTTACCAACAATTCTTCCAGGCCACTTATGAAGTTGTCAATTCTACCTTGCAAATAAACTGGGTCATACTCAGATGACTGAACGCAAAAGCAAAACCCAAAGACACGGTATGTTACTCGTGGGCTGCATTCAACAACATAACCAAGCTGCTCTTTTGTCCTGTGTCCAAATACATATTAAGAATTTCAGCCCCAAAACAGACATACAAGAAGGCAGGAGAGACAAAAGAAATATTAAGAATAAGCAATCTCAACCTAAATGAAAAAATCCTGCAAGTAGATGGTTTCATAGAATTTGCAAGTGATTTTCGGTGATACTAAGGTTCTATAACAGATTTCAGAATAGAAAATTCCATGCCAAAACAAGACCACCTTCATTATCAAGTTACCAATAACCTAAACTCTGACCTAGTTTACAATGAAATGAATTTAAGGATAATCAATAACTTTTAGTATCCATGAGTGCAAGTACATTTTGCTTCCTGTGTTGTGTGCACTGACTCACTGAGAAAATAAGTAAGAAATAACAAATACTCATTTTAAAAGATATATTTGGGGCAAATAATGGCAATCATGAGAAAACAGGAGAAGAGAGAATCCATCCTCATTAACAAAATATCAGATGTCAAATACAATGAAATTTTAGCAACTGATTGTCACCTCAGCTGATTAAAAAGTGGCTCCTCCACAATTTCATCAAAGAGATCAATCAAAGCTTTCAATTTAATTGACTCCATACCACAATCTTGCTCAATTTGAAAATAAAGCTGCATCAATAGCAAAACCAAAGTAAGCAGGAGAAATTTTTCAGAGATTATAGAAAGCAAATTAACTAACTATGGAAGACATTAGTGAAATTCAAACAAAAACCAATCAAACTGAAATTACCTACCTCAACTACAGAATTTTTTTCCAGCTTATTCTTCACACCAACATCTCTAACTAAATTGGAACTGGAAGGGAGGCAAATAACACGCTCAGCATGCCTCAACTCAATAGGAAGTGGATTTACTGGAAAATTCATCTTAAATATATTTGATATGCTAATTGCTTCTTCTTCTGACAGATTTCCATGGCATAGACCTTCAACGTATAGCTAATATAAAAGAATAAATCAACAATGTCAGAATAAAAAATAAAGACAAAACCAAACAAATCAAATAAAAGGTAATAATAAACCTAAGTTGACTTATCCATGTTCATCATGAACTTGTGTTTACAAATCAACTAACTCAAAACCAATAAATATAGGACAAGTCATCAAGGAGTAGTTATTTTATTGCAGTTGTTAGCATAATCACCCTACAACTTAGGACTAGAATATGCACAAGTGTCAAATATGGAGCTATTTGGACAGCACAAGGAATAAAGTTACAAGCATCAAACACAATAACAAATGCTCACCCATGTGTGCACCTTGGGAGTTGGCACAACACACATTCAGGTGTCTGTTGCTCACCAACAATATTGACAATAACATCTATGTTTTACTCCTGAAGCCATCATAATTGAAAGACAAAAACAAAACTGCAAATAATAGAAAATACTAATATTAAATATTTCATACCAACCTGAGAGAGAAGCTCAGGAATAAATGCCTTCAGATCTTCAAGAAACAAATCATTTAGATAATGCAGCTTCTCATCAACGTCATAGAAGCTCTTACACAAAACTTGCAATCTCAAATATGTTGAATGGCTTAGAGGCTTCATGTTGGTATTCTTTAAAGTTCTTTTCATGTCTTCTTTTATTACCTGTTCAGATAATCATTGGTCCACGATAGCAAAGAGAGAATACAGAAAAATTAAGGCGGGGAAAAGGAAAACAAGGTTAACATGAAAAAAAAAAAAATTCAAATAAATATGTCACATACCTTAAACCGATCTTCAGTTGGCATGAAAGATCTAGATACTGAAAAGAATTTAGATAAGAGAACAGGAAGCTTCTCATTGAAGCCATAGACCTTCAGCTCAAGCATGTCACCAAAATAAGAGACAGAAGTTTCCAACTTGGCAATACTAGCCTGCATCCATAGAGAGAGAGACTCATACACAATGATATCTAAAAAAAATATGGTTGGGGTGTGAATAGCAATAATGAGTGCCAATAACCCAACCCTAAGGCAACTGTTCCCTATTGATTTATATGGTATACACATACTTTATTTTATAAATATTAGAGAAGTGTTTTAATAATCCCTTAGTATTTAGCTTTCTACTCTGTACTTAATTAAGTATTAGCATTATTATAGTAATTAAATCAAAGAGAAACACAATTCTCGTCAAACTACTTAAGAGACAAGGCACCTTCAAATGACAGGTATTAGCATAAAAGGTATTTAATGAGGTCAATTTGACAGACTTTTTTCCTATGAGTGATATCACAGGCCAGTTTCCTGTGGCAATATACTTAAAAAGAAAAACTAAAAAGCAATTTTCTTTCAATTTGAAGAGAATAAAAGTCAACTCTAAAAAGCTATATATAGACATTCTTCTGGACTCATTTTTCTACAAATATTAACGAATGAGAGCATTTTTATGATTGATAATAGGCAAACTATTGGTTACCTGATTCTAAGATTAGTTTGAGAAGAGCTCCAAAATCAATCGAAATGTATATTTAATTCAAGGTGCGGAATCTCTTAAAAAATGAGAATTTTTTAAGTTGCAGTTATTTTCTTTATTATACAATATACATCGTTCAAAGAAAAAGTGTTTAAAAGCACAAGTTGTTTTTTTGTTTCTGTGCTCTATTTTCTTCTTTCTTGTTGTAGGAGAATTTTCCATCCTCCTTTATTGTCATGTTTGGTTTATTAACAAGGTAGATGATTAACCTGATATGTGATTTCATTCAACTCATCTTTAAGAAGGTGAATGAACAATTCAGACAATACACAACTCTTCACGTTATCATATCCCCCCTTCAAGTTAATTCGAAAATATGTATTGGCACGAGGAACTTTGAAAGTGCTATCTGGCTTGTACCAGAATTTTATCAATGCTTCATCAACTATACATCTAGGAGAAGTTGAATTTGCAAAATCATCAACACATGTGTCACCAGCACGTATAGAAAAGTCACTTGGAATAAACTCATTCTTGGAAGGAAGATGCAGTGAAGCATCGATTTCTGGAGGATTTCTCCATAACTCCATCAAATTTTGAGCAATATCTTCTTCAACATAACGTGAGCCAAACCAAGGTTCATACAGGAAATCTGAAAAAAACATCAAGTGGTTCAATTTGTTAGTGAAAATATAACTTCCAGAATAATTTTGAACACTGTTGTTTTGGTTATTATTTTCCAACACTTCAACATAACAGGTACAATCAGCAGAAACAAATAAATCATGGAAAAGACAAGGAAAAAAGCTATGATTACAATATCATTATTGAATAAGGATCACTAAAGTGTATAATGATAGCCAGTAGCTTAGACCTTTGCCAGTCATTCAATGATATAGGCAACGGAAAAAGGCCAACAAGCAATTGCCAGTTCTACAAAGGGAGAGAAAAGAATGCACCTTCTGACTTGGGGAACAACTTCGAAACAACATCTACCCTCATGTTTTCAGGAATGAAGAAACCAAGAACTTGTTTTATCAACTGTTCATCCCATGTCTTGTACACATAGTCACCATAAATGACATGCTCCGGTGGATAGAAGTGCATATTTTCTGCAAAAAACGATAAAGCAATAAGATCAATAAATTTGTAAAAGATTTCTAAATAGCAATACCCACATAGGAAACAACCACAGACATGAAGGAACCAAACCACTCTTTCATGTAATTGGGTTGAGGGCATAACAAATAGATCTTCAACTTTAGCTCTTATCACTAAATAACAAGATTCCTTTCATCTCTATGTTTGCTTTGCTTCATGTACAACTGATTATCAAATATTATAGATCAATTGAGTGCTTCAAATTAACTCCTACGTTTATAAGAACATAGTTTCTATCATTTTACAACAATGATCCTACATAAATTAACGTTATAATCCTTTCAAATATGCACAGTGATTTGAATATGTTCTTGTACCAAAACTGCATCATTTCAAACACCAAGATTTTCAAATGACACTAACATTAGAGGGCATCTCCCCTCCATTATATTAAACAAACTAATACTCAAATCCAAATAAAATAAATAAATAAAAGGTTCAACTCTATATTAACAAGGAAACAACATCAAGGAAATAAAGTAGAAACCTGCAAGCTCAGCAGCATAATCATCTTGAGGCTGCTCTTCTGCAAATCTGAAATCCATGTTTCCAATATTCTGGAGTTCCTTAAATATCCATTCTTGTGGAGAATCTTGACGCAACAACTTAAGGTATTGATACACAAAGCCAATGATTTCAAAGATCTGGGAAGTGGGAAAAAATATCATCCATATTGAAGTAAAATAATAATGTTGAAACTTGAAAGTATATATTGGTCAAAAATATTAAGTTTGCCACCAAATGCCCATTAATGCTTCAATCAACCTCACATTAATAATTAATCATGAAAATTTTAAATCATTAAAACTCCAAATAATAATGAAGTTGAAACTGAAGTTAACCTTATCAGATGAATATGTATGTACATGCCTTCAGTCCTTGACAAGTGATGGCTCACAAGAAACAAAATTTACTCTAATTATTCCATCTAAAGGGCTTATAAAAGTGGAGAAAATGACGTTACCTTTTCTACACCAGAGTCAGTGAGGTGTATGGACATGACGAAGATATAAGCTATAGTCGAACGATAAATTCCTTCTTCCCCAACACCTGCAGATAGAGACGTAGCCCACCCTCTAGCCTTGAGAAAGGAGAGCAAGCTTCCCCTGCCCTCTGAAGGATTAATGAAAACCACACCATAAAACTTTCAATCTTAGAAATTTAGATTTAAATGAAAATTAGTACTTTCATCAATAACATGTCATTAACTAGAAATGAGAATATTCCAGTGCAGAAAACAATGTTTCAGAAGTTTATCAAGCATTTTCAGTTGGGACTAAATTCAAAATAAAATTTTAGGAGAGTAGGGGGGGAGCATGTTTATGTTAATCATGAAACAAAGACTAGGTTGCTTGATATTATTATCAAAATAGATGAAAACTGGCAGTTTCTGTTCAAGAAACTTCCTGACAATCTTTGAAAAATTACAGGAAAGAAGGAAGAGAAGATGTACTATGACAACTGACATCCAAGTGTACCTCTGTAATTTGCAACAGAGATATATACAATACGATGCATAAAAAATGCATGATAATATATATACATGAAAATATACATTCATAAGTTCATAACTTTTTAGGATTTATCCATAATGAGATATCTTACCATGCCCGAGGAGATGAGCTAAATAATCCTCTGGTTTCTTTAAATACTCTTGGTGTAAACAGGGAAGTGTCCATGATAAGTCGAGAATATGAACATCTTTGACAGCTTCGAGCCGATAAACTTTACCAGCGTTCCAGATAGGACCTTCCACTGTGAACACTGGGTTTGCTTGAGGACCTTTTTCAACAACACCAAACAGTTCCACAACCCAACTCTCAAGCACATCCAGAGACTCTGTATTATTTATAAGCATATTACTCATACCACCATATATCAGTTTTAATCCTATTCTTGAGACAACTAGAGCACAGTTGGAATCAATCGTTTGTTTCAAATGGCATATTAACCAAACTATTTGCATAACATTGTCTAAATATTCATATGATGGTAGCCATTTTACAGGTGCAATTATTCAATTTCAAAAAAAAAAATTAAAAAAAAAAAAATCTTATCAACATTAACAAGATGCAACTTATCTCTTTTCTTATTCTTTTAACTAGAAAGATACACTTAACAGTGCATCAATCTTATTAGACAAGAAACTCAATTCCTTTTTCATTAGAATTTAGCAAACTGTTCACTTTCAGCAACAATTTGCATAAAGTTTCATCCAAGAAAAAAAATTATAAAAAGACCACAACTAACAAAAGGAACCCATATAAGCTAAAAATTTGGGGGCATCCCCATATAAATTGAACAAAAAATTTGGGATTACTATGTGAAATTCTTTCACCATTTTGCCTCTATGAACAAGGACACAAAGTAAAGCATGGGTTCAGGGCCAGCAATTGCTTCTTAAGCTTTGTAGATTTTTCCAGGTATTATGGACAAAAATTCTTAAGGATCATAATCCTTTAGAGAAAAGAGTTTCCATTTTTTTATCTTGTTTTACCATGCTGCACTGCATAGTGAAACATAAAAAAAATGACACAACTACTCTGAGTTCCTCAACTTTTTTCTCCTCAAGCTATATACAATATTTGTTAATTCACTCCTCTTGTCAATTAGCTGAGACACAAAACCATATAGAATGACCTTTTTTAACAGCCTGACTTTTAGTTATGATCTCTCATCTACAACAGATTTCAACACAACTTACGATGGAACAGAGGTAAACTTTGAACATATAAATCTATCTTAACTCTTAAGAGTGGTATAATGAGTTCTCAACTTCCATTAAATCAAGAAGAGTGATGCAAACATGAATCCCATGTTAGACTTACTTGCAAAACACTAGGCTACTTATTGTTTAGAACTAAATATGGCTATAATAAACTTGGTAAATTTCTTGTTTCTAAATGGAATAACCATATGCCAGATAGTGAAATAGAACTTCACCTCCACCAATAACAACAAGCCTCATCAATCCTCCATGGTAATAATCCTTGCATAATTTCAATATTTGCTCCCGTAAATTAATGCCCTTCTCCATTGCATCAACCAAGCTCTTCTTATTACCTTCATATATATGAAAAAGAAATAAAATATCATTTCAAGAATACAGAATAAGCAGAAAAAATAATTGACCAACAAACGGATGAATAACAACACAACTTACCCCAAAAGAATCTATTTAAAGGATGATTAAGTGTGGCAGTATGGCACTGAATTTGCTGAAGACGGCATGCGTCACTTTGTAAAACCTGGTTAAATTCTACGTTCAGTGTTGTACACCATTATGGTATACAATTGTAAACCACAAAAAACACATTTCATCAGCAAACTAGAAGATAAGCAAGTTGCAGCTCTTTCTAAAGTTTTTCTTTTTCAATAAAAGGTAAAAGAGGAAATCTGCAAAATTGGACTAAAATGAGACTACCTGAATCTACTGCAAGTACTTCTCGCTCCATTGCCTCCATTTTTACAAGTGGTGAGATGAAGAACTGAGAAAATCTGATAAGGAAAGAAACTAATAAAAAAGTTCAACAGAAATCTAGCAAATCAAGGTGAACTGAAACCCCCAATGTTTTTAATTAACACATTAGAAAAAATGAAATGTAACCAACAACAAATTTTGATAACTAAAATATTAACAACAGATAATTTGCTAATAAATGATTAACCAACAGACATTGAGTTGACTAAAATAATTAATATGTAGAATCAAACTAATTGTGTTTTATGCTTTACAAGACATATGACCAGTAATCTAATAAACATTATAAAAGATTAAAAAGAATCATCCTTTCTACTTCTATATACAGGAGTGGCTAAAGTTCTTTCCACAAACTGCATTTCCAACACTTGCATCATCAGTGTATACTATACACTACACAGATTTACAAGTCATTAGTAACCAGAGACGCAACTAACAAAATTAGATGCAATTTAGAGGCAAAAATAGAAAACAGAACCGATCTGCAAAAAGTAATGTGTAAAATCATATTATAGACAGAAATCGTCCTGTTAATACGATGTATAGCAGAATTTACCTTCTCAAGGAACCCTTCAGAAACTCTCGCTTCACTTCAAAATGATAACAAGTATATTCAGTTTCTGTGTACGCATTTGATGAGCCACCATGCTTGGACAAATAGCTATCATACTAAAAAATAGAGTCAGAGTGTCAACTCCTATGCCAAAACCTATATTATGGTTCTCACATATATTAGGAGCACATATAACCACAAGAAAAGTGAGAATTTACGGCATACATACAAAGAAATTAGTCAAATTAATCATAATTAATTTTAAGCTTCTACAAAGAATCAGAGGGGGGATCAGGTGGGATAAGACCACAATAATAAATGACATCTGACTTGACACATATAAGCAACAGAAGGATCACTTAGATTACAATAATAATAATAATAATTAATAACAGTAACAATGCAAGGACTTCACATAAATATATCATTAGAAAGACCCTCCAGGGGTCATGCGGCATTCAGTGAAGGAATGTGAATATAGCTAACAACTATAAAATCCTACATTAACATGAACTATGTGAATCAAAGACTTCACATAGTGAAAACTTTCTTGACTGAAGACGGGTAAATTGTAATATTCCTAAATTTGAATTTAGGCACACATGTGATGAAGGAAAAGGCAATAAGAGATGTACTCATGCAAATCAGTATCAACTGTTTATTGTCTTAAAGTACTATTATTTCATGGCAGCAGATCTTCAGGTTCAGGTTTTATCTCTTTTACACCATTCTTCAAAACCAAAACCAGCATATTTCATATAAATCATTAACTCGATACTTGATCAATTTTCAAATGGGCACAAATAAATAAGCAATACATGACATGACATAGCCAAACAGACCTCATTTTCATCCGGAAATTCTTCACTCCCCATGAAGAGCATGTGTTCTGCAAATCAATACATAGAAATTTTAATTTTTATCAAAGACATTTACAAACCACAAAATGTCATCCAGGGATTAACCAAACCAAAAAAAAATTGCTAAAATGAAATAAACATTAAATATCCAAACCTAAAAAATGTTCTAGTCCTTGCGCTTCATAAGGGTCAGAGAAGCTGCCAATTCCCACACACATGGCTGCAGCAGCCTGCAAACAACAAAAACACAAACTCATTCACATTCCAAAAAAAAGCAACGTCACATTACACATAACACAATAGTTCTACTTCTCCAATCTCCGTTCATATCACCACATTTTCATATAAAATGCAGATCCTACCAACCTCCCTAACACTACACCCACCATTTCTCATCAATACCAAAACGACCAACCCACGAAGCGACCATAGTGGAACCTTAAAAACTGAACCTAAAATCGAAATGGGCATTCATCAAAGAGACAGAAAAATGAAGAAAATGCATAAAAATCGAACCTTTTTGCTCTGAGCAGCAGCTCCTTTAACCTGCTCTCTTCCTTCCACTTCACTTTGAACTCCATCATCATCCCCTTCCTCTTCATATTCATCTTCTTCATCATCATCATCATCTTCTTCTTCTTCCTCTTCTTCATCACCATCATCATCATCATCTTCTACTTCATCGTCGTTTTGAACGTGTTTTGGAGGTCCTTCAGGGTAAATCTCGGGATCGTGAACGAGCAACGCTTGAAGACCATTCTGGAGGTGAATGAGACGGTATAAACGACGGTCGTTAGGGGACTTGAGAACGACGTCGTCAGAGGAGAAAGAAGGCTTCATTCCCATAGCCATAGGATTGTGGTGGGAATGAAGCGAGCGTGATGTGGCAGCAAAGAATCTGTGATTTGAAAGTGTGAAGTGACAAAATTGATTCTTTTCTGAAGCAAAGGAAATTGAACTGATAATAAGGGCACACCTCTCCTTTGATGAGGAAAGGGTACTCCATAACTCAAACCGGTTCCAAATCAATTAATATCTTTTTATTAAAAATATTTTTTTGTATTTTATAATTATAAAATTAAGTTCAAATAATTTTTAAACAAAGTTATTGTTAAAAAATTATTTGTCATATATGCATAAATAATTATTTAAACAAATTTATAAATTTTTATTTTTTAATTATTAATATATATTAAAGTAAAATATTTATGCATTGCAGAAGCTACTACTAGTTAATTATTAAAATTATAATATTAATTAAAACGATAATTAAACTTATACCCAATATATACGTTGAGACATAATTAGATTTGTTAACACCAAATATTAAATTTGCACCATTTAATAACTTTTTAAAAAATAATAACATTTTATGATAATAAAAAATAACATTACCCTAACATTTGTACAAGTCACAATTTACATTTCTTATTATAATTAATACCTTTATTTATTTGCCTTAAAATTGAAAAGTTAAATTGTATGTTATGGTTGTCCAACTTCTTCATCTTCTTGGTTGTGGGGTGGGGCTATTGCAAGGTTGTTCTTCAAGTTCACTTGCCTGAAAAGCATCATTAGTCGTTTCTATAACACTTTTCTTCTAAATAAAACTGTGAATGATTGATTAAAGTATTGGTACCCACAAAATAAGAGAATGATCACTAAAATTGCTAGTCAAATATGTATGGGTTAGATACTATACAGGGTCTTTCCTAAGATTAGTTAGTTTAATTTATAAAATTATAAAAAAATAATTCTTAAAATTTTCAAATAATAGTTATTTTACTCTTCCATATTAGTACACAATGGTCATTTTGATTTTAAAAATTATAAAAAAAAATAAAAGACATATTTTGAGATTTTTCAAAAAAAAATATATTTAATTTTTTTCTAAATAAATCCCTTAGAATCCTTTGCTTAGAAAAAAAAAAAAAAAAAAAAAACAATTCATGACAACTTGAAGTTGGTAATCACCCTTTGAATCTCAAATATGGAGATGTATGGCTAAGTATTAGAGTGACTATAACATATAGGTTTAAATGTATTTATTTTTTAAATTATATAAATTTAGGTTTTTATTTTTTATTTAAATATCTTAAATTTTATTTATTTACTTAAAATATTTAAAAATTGAATTGATTAAATTATCTTTTATTCAAAATTAATTAACTAAAATATGAAATTTCATTAAAAAAAACTTAGTTTTTTTCTCTTTAAATTTTATTAATTGCTTTTTTTTTTTTTTTACTTTTAAACTTTTACAATTATTTTATTTTCCGATCTCAGGACAAACCCTCAAGATTTTAGGTAAAATAAATGAGGAAGACTAAATTTTCTCAAATTTAAAAATAGAGAAACTTAAATAGTTCAAAAATATTTAAAAAAACTAAAATCGCTTATAACTCAAATTAAAGAAACTAAAAATGTAACTAAACTTAAACTATAGCAAATGTATTAATCCTATGTAGAGCAGTGAGTTCATCATGAATCCTTTTCATTAGACTTTTTTTTCTTTTTATTTTATGCTATCTTCCTTGCAGAATCATTCACAACGAATGCAAGTTTCTCCTTTCTCATAGTGGTGCAAAGAAAAAATAGAGAATCAAGAAAGAAATTATTTTTTTTTATAGGCAAAACAAATCTTATTAAAAAGAGTTCAAGGGGAACTCAAAACACATATACACAAAAAATTACTTACTCAGAGAAATAAAAAGCAAAAATATACTTATGCAAAATTAAAACAGATGCAATTTCGTGGGTTCAAATACCAATCAGCTAACATAATAGCTTCTCCTTTACTAACAAGTGATAACCATTTCCAGGATCTCAGAATAATAGAATCTAGAACTTCCCTCTCATCCAAAACACCATTAGAAAATATAATTCTATTTCTATGCAACCACAAAGACCACACTGTACTTACCCAAATAATTAATAAGCATATTTCTTCTCTTTTACTACAGCCAACACCAACCCAAGAAAGCAAGTGAGTCGATAAATCTGAAGGCAAAACCAGTGAGAATCCAAGCCAACGCACAGTAAAGTATCAGATTTGAGATGAAACTGAGCACGTTAAAAATAAATGAGTTAGAAGTTCCTACAAAAACAACAAGTTATATCATCAATTTGAACACCACGGTCAATCAATAAACCTTTACAAGGAAGTGCATTCAACAACAATTGCCAAGAAAAAATGAAACACTTAAGAGGGACCTTCCCTCTCCATAGCCTTTGCAAGAAAGAAATTGTTTTAATATTTTATTTTATTTTATTGTGGATTTCCTATTTGAAACTATATATGTTCATCACATAAAAATTATAATATATTACCCTTACAATTTTAAGAATTAATTTGTAAATTTACTAAATTCAATGGTTAGCATTCTATATTGATGGTTTGTTACTCGTGAACGTAAATTAATTTCATAATATATAACATATACGTAACAAAATAAATTCAAAGAGCCAAACCACTTAAAGATATTGACAAACAGTGAGTATCCTATATATTTCACCGATATTTATACATACTCTGTAAATTTTAAAAACATTTAAAGATTAAGACTATTTTTATTGCGACAAAAATATTGATGTTTGAAATTTAAATTACAAAAATAAAAATAGTTTCATTAATGAAATATTAGTTTAGTATGAGTTATAAATAACTCATTATACTTTATGTTAATTGAATATATTTAAGTATTGATTAAAATATTTAAAGAAATAAAAAACCATGTAATTAAATAACTAATTAAAAATATCAATTTAATTACAAAGGCTTAAATATATTTTTAATGTCCATATTTTAATATTTTATAATTTTAGTTTCTTCAAATAAACGTTTTTAGTTTTGGTTCCAATATTTTAGTAAATTATTATTTTTAGTTTTTCTGATTGATATAGTCCAACCAAAAATTAACATTTAGAAATATTTTAGTGGATCAAATTAACAATAAAGACTAAAAATAAAATTTTATAAAAAATAAAAATCAAATAAAAATTTATTTAAACAAAATAAAATAAAAATTTGCTAAAATATGAGAATTGAAAGTATATTTAAGTCTATTATAAAATAAAAAAAGACATATAACTGCATGAGAAAAAAAAATATATGTAAAAAACTATCTCATTTTCAAAATTGATAAAAAAAAATTTAATGTAGGTGTAAATTTTTCATAGGTATAACATTATGCTATAATGGTAGAGACTAGGATGTGATTTTGGGGTTTATTATTTGTTTTGAATATTTTATAGTAATTGTGTGGAGTTTTGTTTTTTATTTGTTTAATTTGTGTGCGTGCAAATTTTTGTGGTAAATTATGACTTGTGTTCTGTTAAAAATGATGGCTATCAATGTTTTTAAGTCTAGGATTTAAAAACATTTAGAAGTTTAAATGTTTGGTATTTAAAGGATTCTTAGTGAATATGGGATGTAAAGTTGCTATGTGGAATGGAGTAAATAGATTTTGAAAATTCATACTGAATTATTTGTGTAAGCTTGCAACACACAAATGATGTGACTCCACAAAGATTTAATGGATGAAATTTTTATTCTAACTAGTTCATGTTATATATATATGATCTTGTGTGTCTACACAAATTTATTAAAATGAACTTTAAAGTGATTTAGTTGTGTTACTATGCAAAAGACCAGTCTAGCCAATAATCATGCTATCAGTTGATAAAAAAATAAAAATAAAAAATCACACACACACAATATAGTTAAAACTTAATTTAGAAATTGTATTTTTAGTTTTAGAACTCAAACTTCTTTAAATTAGGATTGTACAAAGCTACAATTTAGATGAATAAACTCAACTTTTATCAAAATTTTAATGGAGTTTCTTCTCAATTCTTCATTTTTTTTAATTTTTTCTCATATTATGTGAGACTGCTAAACTTTCATACTAGAGAAATTTGAATTGTATTATAATTTTTATATGACTTCATTATTTTTATCTTATTTTAAGTTTATTTTTAATTGAGTGTCTTCTATGCTTAGTGCTTTCTCTTATATTGTCTATTTAAGAGCTGATTTTAGATTCAATTACATAATTAGTAGATTGGTTTTTGAGTTAAAACTTGAAAAAAAAAACTTTAATTGTGAAGATTTTAGGAATCGAGCTTGGTAATTAAGAGATGTCATGTTTCATTTCTTAAAGATTAGAATTTTTGAATTAAATTGAACCTACTTTTATTTAAATTTAATCTTTAATTAAAAGTGATATCTAAGTGTTGAGAGAAAATTAAATTACACAGAAAAAGAGTGAAAATTTTCCAAACCTGATTCTTATTGGCCATTAATTGTTTGTGAACCTTGTGTGAATGATCTCTTCGGATTTTTTGGTACTTTTCTTATTCTTGCTAAATTTCATTCATTCTTTTGGATTAATTTTAAATATGGTAACTTTATGAACATAATTGGTAATTTTAAAAAATCCTCCTTATTAGAACAATATTATTTACATTAATTCTTTATCATTTGAAATGCAAAAAAAAAAAAAAAAATGGTAATCCAAAATTTTGAAAACTTTTTCCTTTATTGTTTTTATATCTACATAATAATATAAAGATTTTAAATTATATCTTTTAAAATAAACAATAAGTCGATTTCTTAAATTATCACTACTAGATATAATGTAATTGCAAATGTTTATTCTTTACCATGATAGATTATGATAAAACGAGGGATATAAAAATATAATAATCAAATCATCACTATATTTCTCAATATAACAGTGTGTGTGTGTATGTTGAATATAAACCACCATACAACAGAAAATGGTTTTATTAACATTTTTTTTCTTTACCAATATTAGAGTGGAGAAATGTGTTTGTGGTTACAAACAAGATTATGTACTTCAAACACTGACTTATAGATTTCTTCTTCTTTTAAAGTAGGAAAATACATCACAATGTTCGCGTACACTAATGAGAAATCAAGATTTTCAAAATCAATGTTAGGTTCATAATAAATTTAAAATTGAATATAATTCATACAAAAAATAGAATAATTTTATCTTGAAATTGTCTAAAACAAACACAATGCATGTTAAACTAAATTGCATAGGAAGAGTTATATTTATTGGATAACTAATTAAATGTCAAAGGCTTCCTTCCAAACACAGATTTATATGTGAAATTTCTCCAAAGTATAGCAATGTATATTACAAAGATTTGGCATATTTAGCTGAGTTCTGTAAACATGTTGATTAGGAATTTATTTTTTCTAACTATCGATTGAGAATAACCCTTCTTATGCACACAAAAAGTATAATAATGTATAAATGCTTTAGGCTTTTTTTTATTCTATTTTGTATTTTAATTCACTGTTGTTTCATAACATTGCATTATTAGTAATAAAATATCCAAATTGATGAAGGGAAGTGTATAAAATACACTAGCGATTACCAACCACACAAATAGAGTCTCTATTATTTCACTGATTACCAATACTTTTCAAAAGTAAAGATTATTAAGAACAATAAGACCAACTATATATTTTGCAAATGAGACACAAATTTGGATGGAAGAGCAAACTATGCCTAAGCATAAAAACATTCAAAGACAGACTATGAAAACAAAACATTGGACGATTGAAACAAAAGAGACTCCTGAAGCACTGTTAAGAAGAACATAATTCTTTTCAAGGGATATATGGGTTAGCCCAAAAGCCATTTTGAGCATTAACATCTCCAAATGGTAGCATGTCACTCCCACTCCCACCACCATTGATGAAGTCCATAGCCCAATTTTGCTTGTGCATGGCGTCCACATTAGTCTCCAGCCCTTGGACATGATTCATATGTACTGCTTGTTCTCCCCCATTCATGGTTTCTCCAACATTCATGGCTTCTCCTACATTCATGATTTCTCCTGCATTTTCAATCATTGGTGCAACCTCTTGGACTTGACCATTGATGTTCCTTTCAATTTCCTTCAAGTTTTGATCAATCAAGCATGAAAGATCATTCAGATCCATCATGCTAGCATTGTCAAAAATCTTTCCAGCAGTTAGGTATTCAAACATGAGTTGGGTCATCTCTTTCTTCCGATTTTCACTCTTTTGTTTCTTCAATTGTTCTTGGGCTTTGATGATCCTTTGCCTCAAGAAGCTCTCTTGATTCAACATTTTTTTGCTTTGCTCCAATTCAGGCACTCTCTTGAACTTAGAGAGAACCCTATGGACTTCCCATTCAGATGGCCAAACCTCTGGCTGAGGATCATTTGGAGTATAGATTATAGCACATGCTTCAATCCCACAAAGGGTGCTAATTTCATCAATCTTCTTGATCAAACCTATTGAGAAACAAGGCAACAGCCATAGAGAAAAAAGAGAGAGTGAAAAATGGTGAGAAATTGAAATTTATTAAATGGTAAAGTATGCATGCTGAAAGGCTAATAATACATGGTTCATATGAATTAAATAGAAACCAATCTCTTACCATTTTTCCTTTTTTTTAAGGTCGCCTTCCTCTTCGAGTCATTGGCTATGTATGAAAGGTCCACCTTCTTTCTAGTCATGGTGGTGATCAGAAAAGAGAAAGAAAGGAGCAAGAAGGAAATTATGAAAATGTTGTTAATTTGATGTGGCTTTCTTACTCTAATTTGTAGTGTTATTTATATTGAAAAAATGAGATGTAGCTATATTGAATTTAGGGCAAGTCTTGCTAGTGGCATTCATTAGAGATTCTCATTACCAAAGTGGGTACCATTGCATTGCATTAATTAGCACGAAAAATTGTAATTAAATATATGTATTAAACCAATTAGAGGATTGTAAAATAAAATTTTGTTTAAATGACCTACCTTCTATGGATGACAAAGGATATAAGAGATTTTCATGTTCAAATTCAAGTTAATAAGTGGGAAAAGGTCGATCTGAGAAACGGTGGTGTGCTATGAAAAAACTGGATACACGCTTTATAATTTTAATTTGTTTTAAATTTTTAAAAAAATATGTATTTTTCATGAAAGAGTTTTCTTTTTTGGAATTTTAATTATCAGAGTATTGTAATAATTGGTATTAGAGTGCAAAATTTTAATATATTATTGCTGTAAATTCCTCAAAAAAAAAAAAATTCACAACAATTTTATACAACCATGGTTGATCAATCACAAATGTATTCCCCAGCTAGTGAGTGTTTTTTTCACTACACAAGTATAATTAATTTTTAAAAAATTAATTAATTAAAATTATCGTCCATACTTAAATTCATAATAAACTATAAAGTAACATGTTCACTACTTATAAATAATTTAAAATTATAAATATGTATGCATTATAAAATCAATGGTAAATATGTTATCATTCATAAAATTCGTATATAATGGCAAAGATATTAATTATAAAATTTTAGCAGTCGATCAGTTGATATGTAACTTAAAAGTATGTATCTGAGACAAATTAAATTATATTAATATAAATTATACTCATGTTCGTACTATTTAAAAACTTTTAATTAGATCATTTAATCTTAAAACTAACTATTAAATTTTCAAGGATATAAATTATGTTTTTAAAATTTTATATCAACTTAGAATCACTTTTTATATATAAAAATCAATGTAGTATATAATTCTAAATAATATAAAAATAAGAAACATTTGATTACATTTTTATAGTTGTTTAATTTTTAAAAAAAATATAAATAATTAAGATAATATATAATTATAAAAAATGTTACCATGGTTATTTACAATTAATACTATAGTTGAACCTATGAAATACTGAACTAATTTTAAAAAAAATAATAAATAATAATTTTTTGGGTAAAAGAATAAATAATAATTTGTGTTAAAGTTTCTTTACAGTAAATAAAAAATTATAAAAATAAGTGTATTATTATATATTTTAATAAAAATTATTTTTTATTTCTTAACATTTTTCCATTAAATATTTTGCTGATCATTAATTTACAGTTATTTTTATTTTATTATCTGTAATTTTTTTATCTATATATTTAAATTTTAAAATAGCATTAATTTATTTTTTAATTATGCTTTTATTTTAATTAAATCATAAATGCTTTATACACTTATTAAAAAATAATATTAAAATTTTATCAAGAAGTTAACAACAAGTTTATATAAATAAAATAATAATAATATTGATTTTATTTCTTAATATATATCTTATCATTCTAAGCAAAGAAATTTAAAAATTGTTATCACTTACTTTTTAGGTGTGTATCAATTTTTTTTCTAATTTAGTTTATTTAATTTATTTAGATAATCAATAATTAATTGCACAGATTATCATTGCAAGTTAAAACAATTTTAATTATTTAATTCATTATTTATATAAAAGAGTAATTAGTTAATAATTAATTAGTTCATAGAATTTGAGTTAATTACAATCAATTTAATCTATATACAGGCTTCTCATATAGGAACCTCAATCGAATAATTTTAACAATTTCTGAAATATTTAAAAGAAAATTATTAAATACTTTTTATATTTTTAAAATTATCTATTATTTTAATTCAAAACTTACTTTATTATATATATATATATATATATATATATAAATAAAAATAAAAAAAGAACTCAACTCCATCACCGACAGCTGTTGATAAAGTTTAAGCGCGTTTTGCCTGCTTGAATAATTGTCATCAATGATTTTTTTTATAGTTATTTATCTCTATATATTAAATATAATTATTTTAAATGTTTTTATAGGAGCTATTATCTCATTTATTATGTTATTTAACTTTTCTTGCCACGAGTATTTAATTTTTTGTTAACTTTTATTCTTTTTTAATTATTATTCCTTTTTTAAGAATTTAATTATATATATACATATTGAATGTTAATATTATTATAATCTCATTTTGAATTTGATTTTAAAATTTTAAAATTTGACACATCATATTAAAAAATAAAATAATATTTTTTACTGGTCAGATGTTTAAATTTTCAATCATGTCCTTAAAGTAATATAAATGTAAATCGTTTGTATGCTATATTGATCTTGGCGCTTTCCCTCTAAAATTCAATCTTATTTTATTTTTTGAAATTTGAAATTTTTATAATTTATTTTTCAAATCAAAAGAATTCATCTTTTTTATTTAATAGTATTTAATATGATAAAAAAATTTATTATAGTCAATAAATTATTTACTTTTTTTAATTTATAAACTTTAATAAATTGAAAAAAATTCATTCAATACACAATTAATTTTTATTCAATAAATTTATTTTAATTTAATGGTACCCGTGTAATGAATGAAACAATCATTTATTATATATATTTAAAAAACTATTTTCTTACTTTTATAATTCTTTCCTAAAGGCTTTCTCACATAGGAAAAATTAATGTAATTAATAAAAGAGTAAAAACTAGGAAAAAAATTTCATGAATTTTCTTTCATATAATACCTTATTAATTTATTTATTATTTCATTTATTTATTTTATATTAATTAATTTTTTACCTATTTAACAATAATAACTAATCATCCACCCACCAACAATAAAGCAAAAAATTTAAAATTAAATAAAAAAAATTAAAAGAGATCTGAATTAATGAATTATTAATTTAATATAATTAAGCCATTATTTATTAAATATTTTTTGAATTTATGCATTGCATTTAATGATAAATTACAATATCAATAAAGTAGTATATTTATAAAAATAATATAATAATATAATAAAATTAAATTAATGTAACATTTAACAATTAATGTAATGCACTGCATTAACTAAATGATATAAAATTAGTGAATATATTTTTAGTAAAAAATGTAGAAAAAGAGATTTGTTATCATGAGTTTTAGAAGCAGTACATTATCAACATGCACTAAAATATTTAGAAAAAAAACATTTGTATTTTATTTATACAATTGCACTAATAAGGATATTTTTCATAAATAAATTTTTAATACATTTGTTAATAATAATAATATAATAATACGACTAATGAAATACTTGCACCTTAAATATTTGTTGAGAAATCAATTATATTTATATTTTTTTCTATTTCATAATTTTAATAATTTAATTTTAAAGTGTGTCATGTTATAAATAATTCTAGTTGTGTTCAAGTTTTGTTAATATTTTTTTTTTAATTTTTTTTAAATGAACTCACGCATAATTTAATTGGTTTTAATTAGTTTAATGGTTTAGAGTCGGTTAATTTTTTGAAAAATTTGCTAAAATAATATTAATTTAAAACATCTAAATATATATTTTAGCATAGTCTTGTTATAATAATTTATTTTTAAAATTATTTTATTTGATAAATCAATTTTATTTTTCATTTGCTAAGTATCAATTTTAGAGGCTTAATTAATAATTGGATTAAAAATTTTGATCATATAGATTATATTCATAAAATTTTAAATTAATTTTAAATTATTTAGTATCTCATTCATGAATATGAAACTTAATTAATGTATTATATTTTTTTTAAATAATATAAAAATGAAAATTATTTGATTACACTGTTAATTATTTCAAAATTTAGCTTAAATTATTATAACAATATATAAGTATTTTTCAACTGTTGAATTTATATAAAACATTATTTTATACGAAGTTATCAATAATGTATTTTTAAAAAAAATTAGATGAATATAATTCGATTTTTTTTTACTTTTATACAAAAGTAAAAAGAGTGAATTTAGACTATATAATTATACAGGTATTATGTGACTTTTATATGTTTTAATCTTGACAATTTATAATAAAATTTAATAATTATAATATGTTTCTTTTACAAAAGTTTCTCTTACTTGATAATTCATCTTTATATAAATATATATTTTAAATTATGTGATCAAATCTAAATAAATCGCTATTTAATGTTGAAAGAATTTCTTCATATAACTTTTCTCCTCAGAACTAGAGTCCTAGTGACACTCGTGAACATTCTCCTTTTTTTCCTATTTATTCGTGTAAATGGTATAGAATTTCATCAAGGTTAGTCTATTCATATAAAAATAAATTTATACTTTAGTTTATACAATTCACTTTGCTCATTTTTATTATTATCTTAATTTTTATTTTCAATGACACTCTCACTTGTTCTTATATATTTTTTTACATGACATATGATTATTTTAATAAGCATGTTCACAATGTTTTTCGTTAATGTGGAATGTTGAATGTATTGAAACACTTATAAAAAGAGAAACAATAAAAAAAAATATTCGTATAAAATTTTAATTTGTAAATTATGCATGGTCATGCTTAATTGTTGATGGCCATACAACTTAATAACACGTCTTGATGGCCTCAACAATAATTATAAATATCCAGAGATCATTTGTTTCTAATGTAAGTAAATATTTTGTTTTTTTTTTCTCTTAGATTTTATTTGAGAATTTGTTTTTGATAGAAAAAAAAAGAGAAAAAGAAGATATATATGATCATTATTCTTTTCTAAAAGTTTCTTAATAAGAGTGAGATGATTTGTAAATCTTTTAAAATTCTCTGCTACTTCTTTGTCTTTAAGTTTCTCATATTATAGGTTTGTATTAGAGTATGTTTGATTTCTCTTCTTTTTTTCACTTCTCCTCTATTAGTATTTTGACCTTTTTTTTTTCTAAACTTTCAAATAAAATCTTAAGTTTTATTTGAGAAGATGAAAAGAAGTAGTTTGAAAAGTAAAGAAGGAATAAAGAAAGTCAACAAAAAATTCTTTAAATTAAGAAACTTAAAAATATATGTTTTAGAGAATTTTAAAAAGCTTACTAAATAAAAATTATTAAACAAGTCTTCTTCTCTTTTCACTTTTCTTTGGAAAACTAATTCTCATGCAAATTGTCAAAGATTCATCACATTTCTTAGGAGGTCATAGTAAATAGAAAAAAAAGGAATTCAAGCCTATTTACCCTTAATGTTAGATTGAATTGAGTAAACTTCTTTTTCTTTTCTTTGTATGAAATATCATTAAATAGGTTGATTAATATTGTAATTTAAATTTATTTATGATTATAAATAACTAAATCTATGACAAAAGGTAATGAAGAATCTACGTGTTGAACTATTTATTTCTCGATTTAAATATAGTTTACGATTTTTCATTTCTAATCGCTAGGTTTGTCTTCTTATAAATGATGTGTTGGGATTAGATATTTTTTATGGTCTTAGTTATTAGTTGACCCAATTGTACCACAAATAATTATAAAATTATAAGATAAACCGTGGCAAAAAATTTAAGAGTATAAATTATAATTCATTCACTTTCATTCAGTTATTGAGTTTACAAATCTGATAAAATATCACCTTTTTTTTTATATATAGTAATTACATTTCTCTATTTCATGCAATACATGCAGGATCCGAAGTCATCAAAACTTGCTCTATGAAGTTGTGTATTATGTTAACTATTATCACGAAATGCTTTATCACTAATCTTAATCAAGTTAAGTGTTTAATTAAAAAAATTAACGGATTATGTTAGGTTCACAAATTAAAAAGTCACCCTTTTTCACACTCTTAAACCTTTGCACAAGATTTCATCCTCATCAACTTGCATGATCAGGTAGAAGAGAAAATGTAAGCAAGAGTAACTTATTTTATTGGGTCAAGAAAACTATAATCCTTCACTAACTTGATGCCCCACGGGTGATTTAGAGGGGAAAGTTAGTCTTAATTACATGGTTAATCTCCTAGCTTGTGGTTGATTAGGCTATAATACGAAGTTGTGACTAAATATGTGTCCAGAGTAGAGAAATAACGAAGTTTTTTAAATATAATTTTAATTATTAGTAAAATTTAAACTAAAAAAATTATAAAATTATAAGTGAGAGTCATTAAATTAGAAGTGAGACTCACTAACTTTTAAATATTTTATAACTAACAACTAAAAATATTTTAAAAATATATTAAACTAAAATTTTCAGTTTGAAAATATTTACCAATAATGACTTCCCAAAATAATTAGAATAATGTTTAGACCTTGGGCATGTGCAACCCTGAGAAAGGACGTTGGAAATAGATTTGAAATTTAACCCAATTTGCATAACGTATAGATAAAATAGCTGCTATAATATTCAAATTATCTAAATAAAATAAATGCATGTTAAACCTTATTAATTATTACTTCTTTTTTTTATTCAAAAACTAATTAAATATGGAAAAAGATAAACAGTACAAAAGGAAAATATATAGGAAGTGTAAAATAAGAATTATCTGTCATTTTTGTCAAATTAGGACTGTTTATTATTATTTTAATCCAACAGTAAATCAATAGTAACAAACCACAAAATTTCATTAAAATTCATACGCAGAGTTTTCCCCACCAAATAGCAGAGCTCTTTAAACATATATGGTTTCCATCCATTGAACACATACAGATAACATGTGTGAATTCTTCCAAAGTATGGCAATGTAAAAATGTTCTAGATTTTAATTAATCATTTTCTTTATAACATTGCAATTCTAATAATTTAACATTAAAACTCATAATCATATATTGATATATAGTATCCAAGTTGATGGTGAAAAACACCTGTGACTGAAAACCACACAAATATTTAGACTCTTTATTTCACTAATCACCAGCGTTTTTTTGAAAAATGTTAATCATTTTTAAGAACGACAAAGAGAAGTTATTCTGTTTTTTTTTTTTTTTGCAAATAGGAAATAAACTTGCATATGGCGACCATTACATTACTACAATGTCCAAGCAAGACAAATTCACAAAAGACAATGAAAACCAAAATTGGATGGCTGAAACAGGAGAAACTCATTACTAAGAAGAACATAATCTTTTACTCACAATTAGGTATGATAATGTTAATCCTTTGATGGGTGTGGCTAGCACGTAAACATGTGCATATAATGGTCTAAGAATCGCAAAACTATGATAAGATGTTAGAATTTTATTAAAGCAATGTTTGGACCCTGGACAGGTATAACTCATAGGTCCAAAACATATTTAAGATTCAATACAATTCATACAATGGATAGATAAAATAACTAGTATAATATTTAACTTGTCTTAAACAAACTAAATGAAAGCTAAAACCTTAGTACTATATAAATACACACACACACAGTGCATTCAAAACATACAGATTTAGATATGAATAATTCTTCTGAAGTATGGACTGTATAAATGTTTCAGGTTCTGAAGCCTATATTCAATTCATTATTTTGTTTTATAGCAATGCGTTATTAATAACAAAGTCCCTAATTATCATAAATTCATGGTATCCACGTTGATAATGAAAAGTTAATTATGAAACTATATTAGCGATTGAAAAGACACAAATAGAGTCTCTTTTTATTTTGCTTATACCAACGCTTTTTGAAAATAGACATTAAGAGCAACAAAGACTGACAATATGATTTATTAACGATGAAGGATAATTGTTTGTCTAAGCATAGACACTTTTGAAAACAAAGACATTAAAATTAAGCATGAAAGGTTGAAATGGGAAAGACTCTTGAAACACTACATAGAGTAACATAATTTTTCAAGGGATATATGGGTTAGGAAAAAGGCCATTTTGGATATTAACATCTCCAAATGGTAGGAGCATGTCGTCCCCAACTACACCATTGATAAATTCTGAGGTCCAATGCTGCCTTTGCATGTTATCCATGTTGGTCTCTGGCACTTGGACATTATCCATATTTACCTGTTGTCCTCCATTCATGGTTTCTCCTCCATTTTCAATTATTGGTGTCACCTCTTGGATTTGCATCCTACTCATGTTCCTTTCAATTTCCTTTAGGTTCTGATCAATTAACCATGAAAGATCATTCAAATCTATCATGCTAGCATTGTCACAAATCTTCCCAGTATTTAAGCATTCAAACATGAGATTACTCATCTCTTTCTTCCTGTTTTCATTCTTTTGTTTCTTCAACTGCTCTTGGGCTTTGATGATGCTTTGGCTCAAGAAGCTCTCTTGATTCAACATCTTTTTGCCTTGTTCATGTTCAGACATGCTCTTGAACCTAGAAAGCACCCTTTGGACTCCCAATTCGGATGGCCAAACGTCTAGTTCATCATTTGGAGAATAAATTATAGCACATGCTTCAATCCCACAGAGGGTGCTAATCTCATCAATTTTCTTTATCAAACCTATTAAGAAACATAAATAGAGAATTGTAACAAAGTGAGAAACGAAAATATAAAATGTTATTAATTAAATGGTAAAATATGCATGCTTCTAGCTAGTCTAATACATGGTTTACATGAATTTATAAAAGAAAACCAATCTCTAACCATTTTTCCTTTTCTTCAATGTTGCCTTCCTCTTTGACTCATTGGCTATGTATGTAAGCTCCACTTTCTTTCTAGTCATGGTAGTGATCAGAAAAGAGAAGAAAGGAGCAAGAAGGAAATTCTGAAAATGTTATTAATCTGAAATTGTTGCCTTTCTACTTGAGTTGCTGCATATGTTATTTATATAGACAAGTCTGAGATGTAACTAGATTGAATTTAGGCAAAGTCTTGCAAGCAGCATTCAATATTAGATTCCAATGTATACATTATTACCAAATTGGGTACCATATGTGAATTCATTACACAAAAATTCGTAATTAATTCCATGTATGATTTGAATTATAAAGGGTTAATTTTACGATAAAATATTGTTTGAATGACCTTCCATTTTTGAAGGATAAAAGAAATCTGGATTTTTCATGTTTGTATGGATGTAAATCAGTGGTAGGATTGGTGTGGCAAGTAGTTGGTGCTTATTACGAAAACTGAGCACATTTTAAAATTTTCAGGGAGACTCAAAATTATATTAAACTTTAACTAATTTAAGTTGAGTTAAATGAATTCATTTAAGGGATATGCAATGTTAGCTGTCAATGTTTATCTTTAATATTAATTAATATAACTCGAATTTGAAATTTTATTCAAAAAAATTAGAAAGGAAACCAAACTCAAAATCTCTAGCAGCTCCACGTTATTATTGTATGTTATTGACTAAACATTGAAATATAAAAATAATTATTTGATTAATAAAATTTATTCGTGTCTATTTCGTCCATTGGAACTTGATACCAAATAGGAGCACTCTAATGTTTGTATGTGTTTTGCTGATTTTTTAAATTTGATTTATATTAAAATTTTAAGTGTTGAAAATTAGAACACACTTCTACTATCACTAGCTTTTTAGGTGTGGCGTTAAAATATTTTTTAAATTTAGGCCTAGCAATTCTTTTAGCATTATATTAATTATTCTATATGCCAGTTATAACATTAATTATATTTTTACAGGGTAAAAATTATTTCAGTTTAAGAATTATATCTCTTTAAGAAAAAAAATTATATAATGTAATTGATAAAATACCTTATATGTAAAAAACTAAGAACCCATTTAATTTTCTGTGGTACAATTCCTTTTTAAGTTTTTTATATTATTATATATATATATATTTGTTAGCATTAATTAATTTTTATGCAATTAAGAATAATCACCTGCTTACCATCGAATAAGAGCAATGATTTTAAAATTGAATCAATCATTTACCTAAAGAGACTGAATGCATATTTTTTTTTTTAAAATGAATAAAGAGACTGACAAGGAGTTTAACTGTTATTGAATTAGTAATGATTAAATATATTTTTAAATTTCACAGAATATATAAAATAATGTTCTAAGACTTTTCTTTAGCCATATATTAATTATACTATTTTTTTTTCAAATATTTTATTATACTATATGTTCGTTATAACATTAATAATAATTTTAAATTGTAAAAAATATTAATTTCATCAGTTTAAGAATTATCTTCAAGAAAAGTTAATGTAATTGATAAAATACCTTATTTATGTACGGGTAAGAAGCCATCTTTATTATTTTCTATGCTCTTTAGCTTTAATTAATTCTTATATATTTACCCAATTGTCACTTACCATCGAATAAGCAAACATTTTAAATTTGAATAAATTATTGACCTAATGAGATTAATTTGTAGTTTATTACTTATTAGTCTACTTATAATTAAGCCAGTGATGATTAATTAAATATATTTCATGTTTTTATGTACTATGTAAAATACTCGAGTAACACACAATTAAACTAATAAAATTTAATAAATGAATATAATAATATACTAAAGTGTAATGTTATATTAACAAGTTTTTCGTGCATTTTATATATAATATTTAAAAATAATATATTTTTATTATTAATAAAAATCTTTTTTTATTATATTAAATAGAAAATAATTTTAAAATTGAAGAAAAATTATTGAAATGACATATTTAAAGATTCAAAATTTAAAATTTAAAATTTAAAATTTAAAATTTTAAAATAAATTATAATAATTTTACAATATAATTTATCTAAAAAGAGAAATATATCTTGTATTTAATCCAGTGTATAAATATTTAATGTTTAAATAAAATTAAAATTTAGCAAAAAAAATATTCAAAATTAAGTAATAAAAAGACAAAATTTATAAATAAAAAACAGAATTGTATATTCAATGCAAGAGTAGTAACATGACTTACCAACCACAATAAAGTAGATACATAATATAAGGACGAATATAGTTCTTACAAATATTTTTTTAAAGAATAAAAAATTATTTTTATAATATAAGAGCGCATATAATGTTCATTAATTCATAAATATTATTATATTATTAAATTTACTTTAGCATTTTTTTTATATAATACTAACTATTTTAATTTATAATAAAATTTGTATTTTATTATTTTGTTTTCAAAACATAATATATTCATTATAGAATAAATGTAATTTTAACAGTTTTTTATTTATTTATCATTTTACGGTATTAATAAAGTTTTTTTTAGTTTTATCTTTTTTCCTCTGTATTAATACTCAATAACTATTGTGAAATATTTGAAGTTATTATAATGAGTTCTAACAAATGTTATTATTCCAATCGTATATTGTCTTCCATCAATTTATGCAACATTTTCAGCAAATTTCTTCCTAATTAAAACTCTAAAATCAAATCATAGTCTTGTTGAATGAAATCTCGAGTGAGCAATCCATAATGGAGAACGTCCTCAACTTAATTGGACAGTGCATTAGAACACTAATTTTCAGAATTAAGTGACAGACACCGTGATTTAATTTGTGAGAACAAAACATAAAACTTTAATTCTATATTATCAGTTTATTATATATCAAAAAAATATTAAACGCTTAGGATTGAATTAGAAATTTTAAACGTAGGATTGCATAAAAATAAATAAAAATAATTAAGCTATAAGTTTGACCCACTTTCTTATTTGAAATAACTTAGATAATTTAAACTTAAGGCTATTATACTTATATACTTTTTTGTTGTTGTTAATATACCAATGTAAAATTCAGAATTAGGTCTAAGTTTATTAAAAAAAGTAGTGATATTTGTATAACATGTATTGCTTAATATAATTTTAATATAGAAAAATTTAATTAAACGTAGATTAATAATTTCTCCATAAGCTTGTAAGTTTTGTGATATTAAAAATGAGAAAGTATTGCACTTTTTTTTATATTGCAATATTTATACGAGAGACTGTAGTACATAATGTTTGAATGGTTTGGTATCAGTTAATACTTACTTAAAAATTTGCATAAGACATTATTAAGTATGAGTAAAATTTGATATAGAAAAAAAAAACAAAAAAAAAAACTGTAATGATATGTTTTGTAATAGTATAAATAATTTGACTTTAGAAGAATAATATTATCTTCAATAATGGTATGTTAAATATTTGATTTTATTAAATATCATTCTTAAAAGTTACTCATGACATGACATTTGGGAGTGAATTGGATAATAATCCTTTAACATGTATTATTAATTTTCTCTAGAGATGTAATAGGTTAGAATACTCCTTATACTTATATTTTATCTTTAATAAAATATTCATGCTTAACAATATATATATATATATATATATATATAATAATAATAATAATAATAATATAAAATTTTATTATCTTAATATTTTCTATCAAATTTAACTAACTTTACCCTTAATATGATTTGTGTTTTTTTTTTTTTAACTTGAGTTTATAATTTCAAATTTTGGGCCTTAATATTATGTTTTATTTTATTTTTTGCTTGAGTTTGTGTTTATTTTTTTTATTTCATAGATCTATATTTTTTATACACTCAATTTTTTTAAAAAAATAAATTGGGCTTTTCATTTTTTTATATGAGTTCTAATACTGTATTAAAATTTTAAATGTGAACTTAATCTGAGGGCCATTAAAATTTGACCAAGGCCGGCCTATCTCAACACTGAATATTGTGTCATACAATATACATATTTAATAATTTTAAAATAATTTAAATAGATAGATTGTAACTCCTTTTAAAAATTGATGATACAAATTTAAAAAGTTAAAAATACATAAAATTAAGAAACATATAAATAAAAACGTAATAATAAATTTTAAAAAAAAAACTCTATATCGCACTTCACGTGGAGGAATTTAATAATACTATATACAAAAAGCAATGGGTAGATTAATTTGTTTCATAATTCGCACCACCACACACACTTATATGATTAATTCAAAACCTTAACATGTTGATAACTTACGAACTATTTACCCCGCATATCAGATGTGATTATATTTTATGATTATTTGAGAAAAAGTTTAACATCATTAAAAATATTTTATGTATTTTACTATTTTTTTAAAAATAACTCATTTAATATAAACAAAAATTCAGATCTTATAATTAAAAGTTATTACCTTATTTTTAGTTAATTTTTATTTTAATTTTATCTTTAGTAATTAATTATTTTAAATACAAAGTTAATTATCATACATAGTTGATTTCCTTTTTTATAATTTCTACCTTAAAAATTTATTATTTTGTACAATTCAAACATAATAGGTTATTTTAAAATTACTTTTTATTTAACTTATCTAAACATAGAATTTATTTTTTAAGATTACTCATCACAATAATTGATTATACATATAAGTAATTATTGAAATAATCTATTTTTTAATTATTCCAAATACAAACTTAGCATTAAATAATAACAATGAACTAAAGATGAATTTTTTTATACGGATTCCATAACGTGGGGTAACCACTATAACCACACACCAATAGACAAGCTAAAAATAGGAAATAAACATGTGAAGCCAAAGCCACATGATGACTTATTTGCACGTATGAAATAAACATGTGAAGACTACCTCATAATGACTTAGGATTGTGTCTTCACATTTAAACAAGACAGTAAAAATAAAATCAACAAGTGAATTGGGAAAGATCCCTAAATCATTGCTACCAAGCACATGATTTTTTCAAGGTAAAAGGTTAGGCCAAAAGCCACTTTGGATATTAGCATCTCCAAATTGAGGCATTGTTGTCTCATTCCCATTGTTACCATTGAGCAAATTCATAAACCAATTCCTTTGCATATGAATAGGATAAGCATTCCCATGACCATGATCCATCAATGCCATTTCTTCATTCTTAGCCACTTCCAATGTTGGTGTTGCCATTTGAGGTTGGTATGGTGTCATTTCTTGAACATTCATAGTTGTTTCCAACCTTCTACCAATGTCCCTCAAGTTCTTATCAATCAACCATGTAAGATCATTCAAATCAATCATGGTCATGTTATTAAGCATCACCATCCCTGCACTAAGGCATTGAAACATGAGCATGGCCATCTCCTTCTCCCTATTATCTTTCACTTGTTTCTTCATTTGTTCCTTACCCTTCATGATCCTTTGGTTCAAGAAACTCTCTTGGTTCACCATCTTCTTGCTTTGCTCCAATTCAGGCATGGTCCTGAACTTTGCCAACACCCTTTGGACCCCCCAAGAGGATGGCCAAACCTCAGGTTCAGGATCATAGGGCCCATAAATCACAGCACATGCTTCAATGCCACAAAGAGTGCTTAGTTCATCAATCTTTTTCACCAAACCCTTCTTCCGTTTCTTGTATGTTGCCTTCCTTGCTGACTCATTGGCTATGAATGCCAATTTCACCTTTTTTCTGGTCATGATGTGACCAGAAAAGAAAAAGTGTGAAACAAAATGAAAACAGAAAAATTGCTTCTTGTGGTTTTTGTTACCACAAACAATCTCTTATATTTATAGACCAATTTGATATATACCTTGTTTGATTTTTCAGTAAGCCTTTTTGTTGCTGTTTTGTGTGATGAAATGCCTACTAGCTTTGCGCATTAAAATGTCACTATAAATGTCATTTCTATCTATGAAGGATATAGAGGATCCTGCACTTTAATGATATTTAAGTTGTAAAATTTATAATCTATACTGGTTAGTAAATTAATTGATTGAGTTGGTATGAGAGAGTTGGTATATATATTAACAAATCTTATTCACATTGAATTTTATGTATAGATAGAATGATTCATAATTTTAAATAGCATTTTGACCGTTGTTATCATTATGTATGATTGTTTATATTATATATGTTTATAGTAGATAACTAAAATGTATTAATTGTGTGATCATTCACATAGTCCAATCTTAATGGCGCCTAATTTTTAAAAACCGATGCAAATGTTAACATAAAAAAAATTATTTAAATAAATTAACATGCAATTTTTTTAGAGAAATAATTCTAATATTTAAAATTCTATAAATTAATTTTTTAATATTCACTTCTTTGAAGATGTGCGATATTCACTTATAGAATATATAAATAATCTTACTATTAATCTGAATTTTTTACTGAACTTATATTTAACAGTCAATAAAATAATAAATTATAACTTATAATATATATATATATATATATATATATATATATATATATTCTTCTAATACTTTATTAGGTAAGTGTTAAATAAAAATATGAATATATTTATTGTTTTAAACATATAAATATGTTTAATTCCTTTTTTATTTAGTAACAATAAGAGAGTTTATAGAAAAATGTAATAGGAAAATTTAACATTATGCCTTTTCTAAATTCAAATATTATAAATTTAAATTCAAATGGACAAGTATCTGAAATTCGGATGAGAGAATTAGGGGTTAAATAGAATGAATATTTTATATGAGTTCATCCAACCTTTATACTGCTATTTTAAAAGGTTATTGAAAATTTTAGATTCGAGTTTAGAGTGAATTCTGCATTTGGCAACATATTTTTCATTTTAAACTCATTTAAAAATATAATTTAATTAAACTATATTGACAATATTTAATATAAATTGTCATGTAAATAAAATACCATTTTTTGATTAGCAAAAAAAAATTACTATTTTTTGTAATAACTTATTATAAATTTTAATTAATTATGGATATAAAAATATAAATTAATAATACATTAAAATTAATCTCTTAAAGAACGTATCATATAAATTATTAGTCCGCATATACGTGACGTGACCATAATAAAAATTTAGAGGAACACGACTCAATCTTCGTTAGTTTTACTTAAGTTTAAAAGAATAAATATAAGTAATGATTGAAATAAAAATAATGGATATCTATATCTCTCTCTATATATAAAATAATGAGCATTTAATTTTAAATATTGTTAATATAATAATTTTATATTATGAATTAACTAAAAGTTATTAATTATTATACAATTAATAAAATTATTCATCTTAACCTATTTTTATATAAAAACCAACTCTATCAAATGTTTAAAAAATAATTTTGTCATCCATAGTAATATTACTTACTCAAATAAAAATATTTCAATTAAGTAAAGGTTAATGTATGTAGTTCATTTATAATTTATCTTTTATTTTTAAAAACATAATTTTTTAATTTATTTTTATTTAATATATATAATTATAATATAATAGTATGCCTAAAATGCACGAATTCTATTATATAGACTCAATTATAGCATATATTATTTTTGATATATACATAGAGAATCTAAAAATAAAATTTAAACATAACAAAAAATCCGAAACTGAAGTGTGTCCGTGGCAGTTAAAGAAGCGTAACTCTTTATTTTACACCTGACACTGAGACACAGTACTGTCTAGTTTGTGTACATTCATTTTCACCCACAAAAAAATTGCATTAGTAAATACCATAATTTCTTCCTTTTCTTTACCATAATCAAAACCAACAATTCAAAGTAAATAATAATAATAATAACAAAATAAAGAAAACTAATTATTCATCTTCTTCCCAAAGACATCACAGAGATTTCAGAAAATTTTCAAAAATGAAACCGGAAAAAATGGATCCAGACATTTCCCGGTGGGTCCTCGAATTCCTCCTCCGAAGTTCCGTTCCCGATTCCCTCATTCAAAAATCACTCACTGTTCTTCCTCTCTCCGCCGCCGATTCACGTCTCAAGAAAACCCTTCTTCTTCGCACTCTCCAATCCCTTCTTCTCAAAGCTTCTCTCTCCGAAACCACTCTTCAAATCTTCGAACTCCTCGAAGATCTTAACCGAAACGACTCCGTTCCCGTCACCGATTCCATGCGTCGCGCTTATTGCGCCGTTGCTGTTGAGTGCACCGTTAAGTACCTTGCTGCCTCTTCCGACGACCCCGCCGGCGAGTATTTTGATGCCGTTCGGAGGATCTGGCGCGGGCGTGTTGCTGGAATGGGGGTTGAGGGTCGACGGAGCGAGTTGGTCTCCGGCGAGCTGAGTCAGTGGGGGGAGGACATTGAGGCGGCGCTTTGGGATCCTAGGGTTTGTGAGAGGTTGGCGAGTTTGAACAGTAGAAGGGAAGCGTTGAAGGAAGTGAGGGGGTTTTTGGAGGAAGCGTGGGAAATGATGGGTCCTTCGTTTCTTGATTCGGTGGGAGCGTTGTCGAAGGGGAAGGGTTTGTGCCCTGAAGGTGTTTGTGAAATTGCTTTGAGTGTTGAAGCGCTCAGGAAGCGTGAGGGAGAGTTGGAGGGTTCAAGGAAGGAGAAAAAGGAATCTTTTGGTGGTGGTGGTGGTGATAGGAGTGATGATAGTGATGATGATGATGATGATGATAATAATGATAATGATGATCATGATCGTGATGGTGGTGGTGGTGGTGCTAGTGATGATGGTGCATGCATGGAGGGTGTGGCAGTGCAGGATGAAAATCAAGGCAAGGAACCATTGGAAGAGAGAGTGGTGTTGCCTGCACAGAGATATAAAGGTAACTTTTTTATTTTAGATAACTGTGAATTTTGATTTATGAATTCGATTGAAGGGTTCTTTTGCTTGGAACTGTGTTTGTTACCAGAAAATGATGTTTGTTTTTAGGTACTACACACGTTTGTATGTGTTCCGAGTTCTGAATTGTGATGGCATAAGTGGTGGAAGTAGAATTGCTTAATTTGTTCATGAAACTAGCTGTGGATTTTTTTGAGCTATGATTTGAGCTATTCTCAGATTTATCTAAATTTAACCTTTTAATCTTTAGTGATGATGTGACTAGGAGGTTGTCACATATCGATTTTTTTTGTTGTATCACTTTAGTGACAAGGACAAAAATGTTGGATTTTAAAAAATTTAGGGACTAAACTACGGAAAATTTTGAGGAACATAAATCAAAACCTTGCAAAAATGTGAGACTAAAAATGTATTTAAGCCTTTATTTTACTAGTACCCTAGAAATTACACTTGCTATGCCTACACCTGTTTTATTGTTTATTTATCTCTCTTTTATCACGTGTGTCCCCAATAGCAGTTCAGAAAGGGAATCCTCAGCTTAAACGAAAGCATTCTGCACTTCGTACATGTAATAGGGGAGTTAAAATATCTGATCCAGAGGAAGTGGAGCCAGCAAACATGTGGAGCCACTACAAATATGATCCAGTGTCTACTGCTGAAGTTAGAAGAGTTCGGGAATCCCTTAAATCAAGTTCTTTTGAGTTACGATCGTTGGTGAAGGATCCTCTCCCTGATGCATTGCATATGTCTGAAGTTGTAAGATCCAAATTGGCAACTGAAGATACAAATTTTGAGCCACTTGTTGAAAATCAGAGTGAAGATGTATATGTACCAAACCCTGATGTTTGCAAGAGTATTGTACCATTTCAGCCTAAAAATGATACCAATCTTGGGAAGAAATCTTCTGTTCGCTCTAGTAATGCTTGTCACCCCAACTTAATGGAACGGAGAAGTAATGCTCGTACTTTTGAGGTAATCATGTTTGTTATTATCTGTTTTAATCCCAGGGCAGATTCCTTTCAATATTTAACTGTTAGCAAAAGGGACCAGATTTTGATATAAAGGATGGTATCATGTTCAAGATAACGTTTTTAATAAAGAAATGCTATTTGTCTCCTCGAGGAAGTTCTTCCAGAACATGGCCTATGGTTTTGAATTGTTATAAAAGTGACAAACAATGGCAATAAAATGCAGTAGCAATTGCAGTCACAATGTGGAAACTGCAATCGTTGCATACCACCATTTAAAACCTTGCCACCACTTGATCCATTGGCCTGTGGATTCTGCATGTGTGGACACAGGCAATTTTGAATTTTACTAATCAAATAGTTAAGAGTCTTTTTCATGATGGATTATTTTTATTGTTGTGTATACTAAGTTTTTGCTTGTATTTATCTTTGCATTGGCATATTAGTTATTTCCTTCTTTTGGCAGTGGGATGATTCAATGGACAACTTGCCTCAAGGAAAACAGCCAAGGAGGAGGAAAAGGAAATGGACTTCATTGGAAGAGGAGACACTAAGGGCCGGTGTAAAAATGTATGTGCTAGTTCTAAACTATTCAAAACTGTCATAACTATAATTTATACTTGCAATTGAAAGCTAATCAATTTAGTAACAGTTTTGTGGATTTTATGTTCTCATTCACTCTATTTCTTACACAGGTTTGGAGAAGGAAACTGGGCATCAATCCGAAATTTTTACAGTAACATATTTGAAAATAGAAGTGGAGTATGCAACCTATGCACCAAAATGCTTTATGTTTCTTTCTGGACTCATGCCTATAATATGACATATATTTTTCTTATAATTTTTGAAGGTTGATCTGAAGGACAAGTGGAGAAACATGATACGGTGACACGGTAGATATTTGAACATTCATGTGTATATATTTTGCGCAGGTATTTTTTCCTTGCATTTGTCCTTTAAAATTGTATTTCTATGGATTAATATGGTTGATATTTGTATTAACATGTGCGGTTTCACATCTTGCATGATCCTTTCTGTTTTGAGATTTAAGGCAGTATTCATCATTATGGAATTGGTCAATGTAGTATTGTAATGATTCTTTGTTTTTACTTGTGTTTTTTTTTTTTTTAATTGAATTTTTCCTGTTTAATACCCATGAAAGATACTAGTCGCTTGTATTGGTTGTGCCTAGACACTTGGTCGAAAAACATATGATCAATGTCGGTTTTGTTTTGCTAGACCTGAACTGAAATGGGTGTTTTGTTAGGGAAGGGAGGGGACTATCTCCGGCTGTGAAACCTACACCTCATGAACTGAAAAGAAGAAAAGCTCAAGATTTATTTTTCAAAATGAGGTGATTGTAATTTTAAAAAGTACAAAAAATTTTGCAACTCAGCATATTTAAAGATTATATAATTACGCTCAAATCAGTGTGTTTTATCCTGGCACTGGTGAAATCATAATCACGCTACTGGGTACTTTAGATAAGTTGTATCAATGGCTGATGTCAAGCTAAAAATCTGCCGTGGAATTTGGTGGATGGCATTTTTATGGAGGATGCGTGGCAACCATATAAAAAAAGCTACAAAATATACAAGGCAATAATAATAACTTACATGAAGAAATAATAAACAAAATTAAAACAATTTTTGGCAAGTCAAACTAAGTAAAACTTTCACAAACTATGATGTGAAATAATGCTACAGGAAGGGCGGAGGGGGACACAAGAAATACGCAAAGCTTAACCTAAATAAAGCAAGCGGGAAAAACTTAAAATCTGGGCATGTTACATAGGCTGGACGCTGGTGGGTGGGTTAATTGTAAGGTTGAGTTACATAATTGAAAAAAAAGAAAAGAGAGAGATGTGAAAAAAACTAGGGCGCTACTCACCAAAAGCAGGATTTCAAGGCTATTAACGGTGCGGGTATTCTGTACAGTGGGTCTTGTGGTTTATGGTGGATTCAGTGAGTTGTTCATGGTTGAAGAGAAGCAAATGTTTGGGACTTGGGACTGCATGGCTTCTTGGTCATGGGTGTGGGGTGCAAAACAAGGGAGGGCTTCGTTCAGTTTCACTCAGAATGGATCAGGACTTCGTTTAGTTTTCGAAAACATTTTTGAGATAAACCGCTAAATACCCTAAAAACATCCCATCATTTCAAGCATGGTGCTGCCATGTCACCACTATCACCAAGCAGCAATGCCATGGAACTCTGATGGTGCTTTGGATAAATTCTACCATATCTTGCTACCATGGCACCGATAATTTATTGTAACAAACAAAGCTTTTGAAATATCAGGAGTTTGCCCATGTTATAAACAACGTTACAATATATTCTTATCTGCAAGAATTTGTTATAGTTCAGGTAATGACAATTTTGATAGCAGGTTCTATCTGTGCAACCAGTTTTGTTAAAATGCGATCCATATAGTGCAGTGAGGAGTGGGGACCAACTGGTATCCAAAGCCATTGCACGGTTCATTTCAGCTCTAACTTCATTCATCTCTGCATTCTGGTTTCAAAAGCTCAGCTGAAGGTTAGACCCTTTGGTGCAGGTTTTGATGATATGCATATATCGTACATAAATCTGAAGTTTTGTGGATGTTACCTGATTCATATTTTAAACTATCTTACGATAATTCAGTAAAGAGAAAGGATTTTTGTCATGATGTGCAACGTATAATGAACTCCTGCTTCTTAAAGCTCAAGACGTTTTTAATTATTTTGCTACTGGTTGTGAATTAAGAAATGAAAAGATAGAAACATTCAGGAGTTGTTTGGTTTCAATTTTTTTCTTAAGCTTGAATCACAAAATTGTTACTTTGTTTTCATCTGTTTTCTATTTTTAAAGATTTTAACAGAAAATATTGAAAATAACCTTTTTCTAATTTCATTGTTTCCTGTACAAATATTTAAAACCATGAAATAAAACAAAAAGGAGACAATTTAATAATTAAAACTGAAAATAATGAAAACAAAACAATTTTTAAACCAAACAGTCCCTCAGTATCATGGTACGATTAATTTTATTTTATGCTGAAAAATCAATGCCGGCGGACTTGCCACCTTACCATTCCATGAAGACTGGGCGTGTGCCCTTAAAACAGAAGACACTAATGATGGTTAGAGAGACTAGACAACAAATTGTTGTGCATGCAATTATCATGTCAAGTTGAGGTTTGTAAAAGTATTACTTGTGCGTGCATCCATTTTAGCAGCAAAAATGTGTAAAATTTCTCATGCAGCTACAATGTTTAAAATAATCAGTATTTATAAATATGAATATACTCTTATATATAAGAGTGTATATATATACCTGTTCTCACATTTTATAAAAATAATTAATAAACTACACCTTTAATAATATCTTAATATATTTGAAGTTGAAGTTGCTAGTGTTCATGTTATTTCATGCCAGTGCAATATATTATGGCACAATGTCGCATGGCAACATCATAACTGATGGCTGAGTGTTGAATATTAAGAGGACAACAAAAGAATGTGGAAAATAAACTAATATTGACAAATTTATTGACATTGATTTGATGTTGAAATTCTTTTTCACATTTCTACACGGAACTGATTGATTACTTGAAATGGCTCAACATATTGCATTGTATTCCTCTTCTTAAAGACAATAATTTTCACTTGCGTAAAAAGAATAATCTTTCACGATACAGTTATATGTATATGTAAATAGTTTAAATTATAATTTAAATAGTAGTTACATAATTATTATACAAGTTTGTTTTTTTAATTATTTAAATAAAATTAATTATCAATAATTTGTTTAATTTTTTTTTTACAGTAGCTAATTGTTCTCAGCACTTATTTTTGTCTAATTTCCTCCCACTGGATCACAAGTTGGGCGATTTTTAGGCCATAAAATAGTATTAAACCGTTATTATGAATTTATGATCGGATGAATAAATTTTCATTTGCTAATATTTTATATTTTAAATCAATGTTTCTCATGTACTTATTGAAATCAATCATTTTCATAGTTAACTAAGGTATGTATATATTTAGTTTTTTCAAAATAAAGTCTATTCCGTTAAATGCCTTTTTCTTGAAGTCATAAAAATTAATAGAGAACCATTTTACGCCATTCATATTAAAAAGAAAAAAAAAATCTATAGTTAATTTTTCTAATAACTCTATTAAGGCGGCTCCTGATCGATAATATGAAGCTGACACATCTAACATAAAATTTGGCTGTTGTGAATGCAACCTTATAATCCTAAGCTTAAGTTCCTTAAATCAATATACGCAACTTGTTTGAAATTTCATCGTCAGAGACGTTTCTTGAATTTTCTCACGACGAATTATCACACCCAAACAATAAAAATATGTGGATTTATCTCTAAATTTCTCGCAGCCATTAGACAGATGTAGTTACTGCCAAAATTCTCCACTCTATATAAACCCTCTACTCTACCCCGTTCAACAAACCATCATACACCAAACTTAAGCTTAGTTTTCTTAATTTATCACCCCAAAAGACCCTCTTAATTTATATATTTTCAAAAATGGCAGTGACTAAGGTGGCATTGATTGCTTCAGTGATGGCATGCATGCTCATAGCATCATGCCTTTATGCTGAAGCAACCTTGACATGTGATCAAGTCACTATATGGCTCACTCCATGCATAAGCTATGCAGTGATGGGAGGAACAGTGTCACCCTTGTGCTGCCAAGGTATATACTCTATTAATGCAGCCTACAAGAGTGCAGAAGATAGAAGAGGTGCATGCCAATGCATTAAGGATAAAGCTGCTTACATTCCTGGAATTGATTATCATCGTGTTAATGCAATTCCTGGCAAATGTGGCACCAAATGTCCCTACAAAGTTTACCCCTCCACTAACTGCTCCAAGTGAGTACCATAACTCCTTTTTTATATTTTAATTTTTTTAAATACGTAACTAAAAGCACACAATATAAAGTCAATGAATAATATTTTTTAATAAAAATTATAATATTTAGTATTATTAATATACTGAATACAGTAATTTTTTATTGTATAGTCTTAGTTACGTATTAAAAACTTGTTTTTATTTAGTGGAATTTTAATTTAATTAGTCCAAATTTGATGGATGAAAATATGTTTGACATTTACACCAAGTTTTATGGATTTTGATCTGATTGTGCAGGGTGCAGTAAGAAGCAAAAGGTGCAATATATTACTCCTGATCAGAACTATGGATCACTAGCTAGTGATGATAGAAAGATTATATATTCTAAAGAACAATAAAGAAATATTAGACTCGCTTAGTCGGAAGTAAAGTGTACGGATCGTATATAACGAACGATCATTTGAACTATATATATCATATATATCAGCAATAAAAATACTCCTTTAATTAATTAATGTTTTCCTCTAGGTTAGGTTTGATTGAAGTGATCCGAAAGTGAACATGTAAAGATTAAGAGTTTAATGCAAAACTTTGCTTCTATCTGATCAAAAGGTCACTTGATATCTCAAAATAGCACTGATATGGAATTACATCAGCATTCTGAGAGTTGCTATTGAAAAATTCATAAGCAATCATCCACAATTTTCTGAAAATTATGTGGGGAGTAATTATGTTGATGTTGAATTGGAGGTGTATCGTTGCTAAAAAATCTGATGTAAATATAAAGAGATTTAACATTTTTAAAGTAAAAAGATATATGAATTAAAGAAATTAAAAATTTATTTATCGTTAATTTAAATTTAAATATTTTAAAAATATAACAAACTTTTTAAATAAAAGATAATTAAATTCACATTTTACATATAATCAAATCATTAATTTGGATCATTACGATATGGTACTTAACTGTAGTGTATTTGATGCCTAAGTGTTAATCATTGGATGACAACAAAACAAGATCAAAAGAATGTGGAAAACAAAATAATACTAACAAAATTTATGACATTGATTTGATAATGAAATCTTTTTCACCTTTCTACGCATAAGAGATATCATACTTGACAATAGTTGAACAAATAACATTTTTTTCCATAATTTTCACCTTACAATTATATATAAATAATTAAAATTATAATATAAATTGTAGTTACATATATATTAATAGTTTTTGAATAGTGATATTCTACAAAGCATTAAATTGGAGGAAAATTATCTCCAATCATCCTAAGAATTTACACCATTGCTGTGACTCAACTAAACATCACAATTCCACTTATTTTTTCATGGATTACAATTATATACCTCTAAATGCATCAATTACTTTTCCAAAATAGCACAATTAAAGTATATGTTTGACATTTGTCTGTAAATAGTAAAGTTGTAAGCAAGACTTTCTAAAACTTCTTGAGTGTGGTTTCCTGGTACTACCTAGTGAATCCATAATCTGGCAATGTACTGTAACTGTGTATTAACCCAATCGTCGATTTTTTAATCCGATTTTCTTCTACTGCATCACAAGTTGGACGATTAGGCCATAAAAGTAGTTAATCTTCATTAACTCAATTTTAATACATGTGATTCGGTGGATGAAATGGTATTATATCACCTGTATGAATTTGTTCAATGGGACTCATAAATCGGATTGATAATTTAAATGTTTAATCTTAGATGTTTATTTTGTATATATTAATATCAATCGTTTTCATAATTAACCAAGGAATGTCTATATTTTGTTTTCACTCTAAAGTGGTCTCATCTTAAATCTTTTTTACTTGATGTCAACTAATGAGGGAAACACTTTAATTAAGCCATTCATCAGAAAGAAAAATACAATATCTATAGTTAATTTTAACGAGTGATATTTTAAATATACAAAATTTTTATAATTTAGTGACATTAAATTTTTTAAGTGCTAATTTATTGACAAAATCTTTAAATAACAAATATAGTAATGATTTAAAATGTCAAAAGACTCATTTAGTGTGCTAAACATTAGAAAAAACTTACTAAAGTAACATTTTTTTCTTTCGAAGGTTAATTCAACATTTTCTTTTTCATAATTAACTATTAAGGCGGCTCAAGATAATATGAAGCTGACACATGAATAATGAAAAATAAGAAGAGGCATAGAAGATAATTTGGGTGTTGTGTGTATGACACGTAAAAACCCTATCCCTATGCCTCTATGCATAAGTTCCTTAAATCAATATAAGCAATACTTTGGAATTTCACGAGAGAGACCCTTTTGAATACAGACAATAAAAATTTGTTTAAGTGAAACAATTAAAATCTTGCTTAAGGGAAAATTAAAGTTAATATTTTTATGATATTTTATATTTCATTTGTTATTATATTATCTATTTTATTTTATATCTTGATTTAATATATTTTTATAATTTTTAATAAATTATAATTAATAAAAAATTAAAAAAATGTGAAGTAATTGATAAGGTGATTGATGTTTTGTTTGGAGTAGACACGCATCAAGACTGTTTTGCATTTGGGATCAATTAATATGAGAAAAAGTCTGCACCAAACTCCAAAGTTGGAAAAGAAGAATCATAAAAGCCAACGCAATTCAACAGTGACGTGTAGAAAATTCATCTAATCATTATTTTAACGACCTTGTTTCTGAGTATGGTAAAACGATATTAATGGAGATTCAAACTCTGTATATTATTGATGTTCAACATAATAATAAACTAATGAGGTGATAACGTGTCAATGTCACCATAGCTATAAATGATTACCTCTAGTGACAAAATTTAAAAAAAGTTTAACATTTCAAAAGTAAACATTGATTTAATCGATGTAACAGTTTTATGAAATTATTAATTTTTAACTATTTAGTTATGTCATCATAAAATAGGCTTCGTTCCAATGGATTTTTTTAATCTAGGTAACTGTATATCCACTGTTTCTTAAGTAGTAAAGATTAAAAAGTAAATGTATATAATTTTTTAAAATATTTAATTTTTAATTTTAAAATAATAATCATTCTTGTTATATATTTCTCACACACACGCACAAACTAAAAAAATAGAAAAAACATTTAGTTATATTTATATAAAAAACAGAACCATAATTTTTATTGTCTTATCCTTTTTCTTCGAAACATAGAATTGTTCTTTGATTAATTCTATTTTTATTTCTAATAACTTTAAATTATTAGTTATCTTTTACGTTAATTTTTTCCTCAAATTTCAGCATCTTATACCGTAAGAAAATATTATTAATTTTTATGTTAATTTTTCTTTTTCTAATCTTAACAATCTCAACATCTTAACAATACACGTCATATTTAATTATTTCACTTTTTAAATTTTAATTCTTGAATTAATTATATACACCTTTCTATTTGTAACAAAAAAAATACAAATCTTTCTATTCGAATTTTGTATTTTTGGAACGGAATAAATAAATCTTATAGATTGCTAAAGAAGAATTTATACCATGGCATGATTTTATTCATGTTTCAATTAAGTAAAAAAAAAACCTATGGAGCAACAAATTATGATTATTTAGAAGTCCGTTTTCAATCAAAATCAGTATAGGTCATGATAATTTCATAAAAATATAAGAGAGTACATATGCGATAAGGTGAACTCGTAAATAAAATTATATTTAAGTTGGTTCAATTCTAGTTGATATGACAAACAGAACTGAGAGTTGATTTCAGCTAATAAAAAAATCATTTTTCCTAATTTTTTTTTTTTTTACTGTCCGATTCATTTTTTGTGTAAATTTTATTGAATTAAATCAATTTATGAACACTTTCCTTCTATCACAGACCCCACCTGTCCTCCCATAACTTGAAGACCAACCACCTTGATAGTAATATAATTACATAAGTCTTTCCTAGGAATAGGAAATATTGTAAATAAATTTCACTTGGGGTGGCAGATTACTTTCACTATAATAAATGGGTCTTCGCCACCTAAACTAAGACAGCTGCCAAAGACACAAATCTGTCTGTATCTTTTTTGAGTTTTGGGACCCTCCATTCCACGCAGATTTTTAATATTAATGTATTATAAGACAAAAAGTAGAGTGGAAACCAGAAAGAGAGTTAAAAGATTGGAGAGACAGAGAGAACGACGAGGACGGGTTATTGTCGTTCTTATCTCCGAAACTTACGACAAAGGACAGTAGCTGTTAGCAGAGCCAAAATCGAAATACGTGGTTGAGGTCTTTTGCAACCTTATCTCCAAATCCATGATTGATGCAGTCCTTCGTTATTTGAGTTTTGAAAAATCAGATACTGATCTTAGCAGCAGTATGATACAAACAGGTTTCAAACTCTTATTGTACAACTACCATGGATAAAACTGAAACTATAATAATTAGACATTATAGAACTGTGTCCATCTTACATATTATTTTCTTTTCTCTTTTTGATAATTCATCTTACATATCCTTGAAATGGAACACAACAACAAATCACATATTACATGTTATCACGTAAAAGATGATACAAAAGACGGGAGGGGGATCTATAAAGATCCCAACATACAAAGATACTATGAGAATGACCATTCATTCCCAATATTCTAAAACTCACAAACACCAAAATGCCACGCTTCAACATGATTGCGTGCACTTTTGTGACAAAACCCCAAGGGTACTTCCCCTTTTTGGGGAGCATCCCTAAGAATAAACAATTAATAATTAATCCTTCCTCTGAAAGGAATATTTAATAAAACAGAGCACCTTCCTTAGATGACTACATGTCAACACTATAAACAATTGAAGAGAAGGGAATGCCACCAATAAGTCAGCAGGTACAATTTGGGTCAAATTCAAAACGTAGTGCTACTCTCACTTGCAGATATTGAGGGCCCTTCAGACTTCACCACGGATGATCCTTTGCTACTAATGTCAAGTCCCTGCAAACGACCAAGCTGGTCATTTTGCAATATATCTGGGATTTGGTGAGAATTTGTTTGTTGTAGCTGATGAGTTGGCATGCTAGATGGGGTGTGAACAAATGGTGGCAACTGTATGTTGGGGTGACCTGAAGGAGCTGAATGTGGTGGCATTGAAAAGAAATTTGACCCTGCATACGGCATATGGTGCATTCCTAGATTAAAAGATTCAGAGGGGTTCATTGCCTCCCCAGTAGCAATCTTAAGCCTCTCAACTTCCTTCATCAATGCATCATTAAGAGCTACAACAGATCAGAAACAAATTCCAATATAATCAATTAATTAACCTTAACAAAATAATTTCAAAAATGTATTGTTATTGTATCATAAGTGATTGACTTAATAATAGTTACCATCACGAAGCTGTGCCTGTTGCTCCATGGCTTGCAGACGGAGCTTAAGCTCAGTATTTTCAGTGCTAAGACCAGTTGTATCCCTCTATAAAAAATTGAAGTGGTATGAGTCATTATATTCAGCCCAAGTTTGTGCATAAAAACTGAAATCCACTAATGGTGAAGTTTAATGAAAAATAAGCAAGTGTACCAGAAATTACCAAAGGTAATTTGTGCAATTAAATTACTAACGTATAATATATAGATTTTCTATTACAAAAACAGAGGAATTTGTGAAGTGATACAAGAGGAGTGCCTCTAATTACCTAAATGTGACAAATTCCTCATTAAACATAATAGCGACAAAGATATATCTCCTAATATGAATAGAGTGTATTGTTTGAGCAGCTAGTGACAAGATATGCTTACATAAGGTCGAAGAAATATTTGCAAGCAAGAATGTAATATTATAACAACGGTCAGACAATAATTATACGCAACAAAAAGAAACAAACTGCAGCAATATATTGGAACCTCCTTCTACCAATTTCTTGAAGATTTCTGGCATAAATATAAAGCCAACAAAGTGTAGCTCCGATAAACAAATAGGCTATTGTACAAAGGAATTTCTGGTTTGTCACATCAAAGATAGTCTAACATGAAAACACCATGAAGTCTAAAGTGCTTTTAAATACAAGTCAACACAAACCTGGTACAATGTGAGTTGGGCAGAAAGTGTCGTGGCTTCGGTCTGAAGGGTCTGAACTTTGCGCTCAAGTTCTTGTATGTAGCGGGCCTTCCTTTCTTTTGAACGCGCAGCAGATTGCCGATTAGCCAGTATTCTATACATAACAACAATGCTTGTGAGGATAATAAGTAAAAAAATCCACCGCAACTACTCAAAATAAAGTTACTGAAAATTAAATGAAACTAAAGAGAGTGTCTCTGGCATAAACTTCTCTCTCCCTCACATTTTCTGCCTCCCATCCCCATTTTAAATTCCCCAACATTCAACAAGCATATTCATATATACCTCTTAAAAATTAAAAACCCACTGCAGTTCTAGATTAATTCATCATTTAGACTTGAAATAATTTACACCAAAAACGAGACACTAAATGGCCTCTGCTTATTCAAAAAATATCGGCAATCACTATTTTTTTTTTTAAATCTTAATATAATCATTTAGATGTCATTAGATTTAACACAATTTACACAAAACAAAAAGACTTGCAATTATGTTGCGGTTTTGGAGGCATCCAGACTCTACACTACACAGCCGCAAATGCACCGCATCAGTCATTTTCCTTCGATAACGTAATCCCAATGCAATGCAATGGCAAATTGGTCTATTCAGAAATCATTATCAGTGATAACCTCAATTCCCTTCTCAGTTGATATAACTCTTATCCCATTCCGATTCTTCAGTTACTACAAAGAGTTGAGAATTTGATTCGACAAAACACTACGATCACATCAAGAAGAAAGCTTCCACAGCAATCACGGATGTAAATCCATCCATCCATCAAATTATGAAAAAATAAAATAAAAAATAGAAAAACTATCAAATATCAACGCCAAATTTTCATTGTTAATAGAAAAGTTAAATAATCACTATTGAGAAAAATTAATAGAAAAACAACTCACTGTTGAGAAATTTACGTAACATAAGCGTAAATTCAGTGCGTTCGGAATTGGAACCAAAATTGAAGAGCGAAAACTTGATGCATTTTGAACGATAAAAAATAATGGAAAATTGAAGTAAGAATCGTAAACCTCTTAGCACGCTTTGGATCGATCGTCCAAAGCTCTTCGAGTTTATCAGGAGGCATGGCTTTCTTCGCCTCCATGATCTCTCCAAACATGCTCGTCGACGTGGAACCGTCGACGGAACTACTGTGCCTGTGTCTCGGTCTCGCCGCGGCGGCGCTCGGACTCTTCTCACTGTCGTTGTGGCCGCTCATGCCGGCGCCGTTTCCGTAACCGCTCTGATCCGATCCGTTTCCAGCACGACCTGAACCATTCGTGCCTCCTCCAAGCTTCTCCACGTCAATGTAGGTGGAGAAAAGGTCGTCCTCGGATCCGATCTCTTCCAGGCTCGCTGTGGAGGATCCGCCGTTGAACGGATCGGACGGCGACAGGTCCATAATGTCTTCCGGCAGCCGGAAACTGACCTCGGAGTGCGCCCGCCGGTGATGAGAGTGGGACTCGCCGGAACCGGCGACGGGAATGGCAGAAGCGCCGTTGCCGGCGGCGCGTATAAATAAGGTAGAAGATGGAGTTGCTGACGTGGCATTGGGATTAGGGTTAGGGTTTGAAGATGGATCTTGCATCTGTGTGGCCATTCTCTTCTCTTCTCTGTTTTTCCGATCAATCCTCTGTTTGTAACATAAAAACACGCGCAATCTCTCTCTCTCTCTCTCTCTCTCTCTCTTCTTTCTTCTTCCTCACGTTGCAACCAAAAATAAAAAAATAAAAATAAAAGTTCTTCTTTTAAAAAATATGTATTATTTAAATGTTGTTTATTTTGTTTATAATTTGTTGCTAGAAAGTCCTTAAAGCACTACTTGTCAATAAATTAAAAATGAAGATTATTGATTAAAAAGTAAAATATTTAATATATTAACTTTTTGTTGTTAAATATTTATTATGTTATCTTTAAAGTAATTAATAACTATTTGTACATTATAGAATATTTTAATTTAAATTAAATCTAAAGATACAAAATATTAAAAATTAAATATAATAAATAAGTAAAACATATGATTAGTTTAAATTTAAGAAGAAAAAAATTAAAATTTAAAAATGCAGACAATTAATTTTCGACAATTTGAGGTGAAAAAAACATAAAAAATATAAAATAAATAAAGATTAAATTTAAAGAAATAATTTTAATGTAAAAAATTAATGGTATAACAATGAAGTCACGTGTCAAACAAAATTGTAATGTGTAATGTCATCATCTTTCAAAACAATAACTCAAATTCATAAGGCGTGTGAATCAATTGTTAGTATTTAACAGAAAATATTAAATATTTTTAATCGATACCTTTTGAGTGAAAGATAAATTTTGTTTAATTTATTTAAAACACTTTTGCTATAAATTTTAAAAAAAATTTAAATTAAAAAACTATTTAATTGGTGTAACTTATTTATCATTGGAAGAGTTAATGATATTATAAGAATAGTAAAAGTCTTTTCTTGCATTAAAAAAAGATGAGTTACACAAATTCAAGTATGCTACTATTTGACAACAGTTTTTTTTCTCATATCTCATTGTGCCAAAACATATCATTCAAAATAATAAAAAAGATGTGTATGTGTTCTTGTGAACCTCATCTTGGGAAATCAATATCAACATGATCGAAGGAAAATTACTGTTATACATCCAAATATTATTTAATTCAATTCTTAAATGCTATTAAATCTTTCGATTGAGTACACCAGTTTCGAAAAATCATGTAGCATCACATGCATAATAATATGATTCAATTGACACTGTACAATATATCATTATTGGTTTCTATAAATTTTAATATTAAGATGTCAACGTGATGAGATATGAATGTGAATAATTACATTAATGTTTTATTTTTAAAAACTACAAGTATCATCTTTCGGGTGAGTTATAATAATAAGGTGATAAAACTCTATTTTTGTGTTACAAAATTCTCACAGGCATTTAATACAGCTATACTTATTAAAATTTAAACTTAAAATTACAATTAAATGTGAAATAATTTATTTATCAATTAATTTACTATTTGGTGTTATATTATAAAAGTTAATTAATATTAACACATAGTTAATCTTTAATTATGTTTTGTATATACATACACCTAGCCACGATGTGAACATTAGCTTTGAAGTAACGTGCAATAAATATTATTTTTGTAGAATTGGCCTTTTTAACACATTTTAAATATCAATTTGTATTATATTATTTCATTATTTTTAACAAGTGATATATTATTTAAAATATAAGTAAATAATTAATATTATATTTTTATTTTTTTTCAATGGTGAGGTTTAGTTATTACTTAATTAATTAAACAAAGTTTTATAGGATGAATCTTGGTTTTAAAATAATATGGAAAAAATTAACAATAATTTAAGGAATAAATAATGACATATATCACAATTTTTTTTTATGAATTCTTTTTGGTATAACTAAAATGAGATTTTTTTCCTTTTTATTTTAAGAATATTAAAAATAAATATATACAATATTCAATAAGAGGTCAATTGTTTATATCATGGAATTACTTTAATAAAATAGGTATCGGTAGCCACTCTTTTCTTTTGTAAAATATCAATATTGTGTTTGAATAAATATTTAATTAAATTTTATCATTTAAAATATTTTATTATAAACTGAACTATAAAATTATAAAAATCATAAACTATTTTTATAAGTTCAAACGAGTCTCATAAAAGCTACTCCAAATGACCCAACGGTTTTTAAAATAAACACGTAAAATACTCACGTTGGAGTCAACTCACTTGGAAAATTTCATGCAAGTTTGATTTACAAGAATCAACATTCCCCTAATTATAACATGCAAGTAAAACTTGCTGAGAGGTTCTTATTATTATTTGACCAAAGGTGAATCCTTATTTTATATCCGATATAATTATAATCATAACTCTCCTTTTAAAATATACAAAAACATGGTATAATTTTACATCATTAATGTACTTTATTCTAAATTTATATTTAGAAAATTCATAAGAATAACGAATTACCCATTTTTAAATAAATTCTCAAAATTATCTTTATATTTGTTTATGTTAAGGGTTAAATTTGGATTTCATTTGATTTGATGAATTATTGAGTTTGATATGTTTGGTTAAAATTTGAGACTGATTTATGAGTAATTAATTTAAGTGATATATACTTTAATTCTCTTCAAACAAAGTTTCCTATTCAAATTTTGTGCATATGATCTTTTTTCTGTTAATAAAAAGAAAATTTTATCATATTATATTAAAAAAATACTTATAGAATAAAAAAATTGAGACCAAGTGAAATTAATAAACATTTAAAAAGTTACCCAAGTAGAGGGCAATTCATTAAATTTACTAAAGCATGCTCTGGAAAAGTTGTTTAGTCCTAAGTTTGTCTATCACTTTAAAATTAATGGAAGCTAGTAGTTATGCTAATAATGATGTTGCCTTGACCTTCTAAATTAATGGAAGCTCTCAGTTTGGATAATGATGATGTTGCCCTTTTACACTTTCAGTTCATCATCTCAGTTTTTTTTTTTTTTTTATTTTATTTTTTAATGCTCAAGCATCAGCATCACAAAGTTACTTTGCACTCAAAAGGGTGAAAATGATCCCTTGCTTTTAATATATAGTTGTAGTTGGCTTCACATATAATAAATATGCTAACACTCAATCCCATATAATAAAGAAAATAATTTTCACAATTAATAACTTCAAGTTTAAATTTGAATAATTAATCAAGACACTTTATGTCTAGGTTAATCCCATTGATTCATAATTGCTGTGTCTCTGTTATATCTTTGTAGCTTGAACACGATGGATGATACAGATCCATCAATTTTTCTTTTAGCAAAGTGATTTCAAGGGACCCATTTTCCGGCAAATCAGGTGAACATTTGAGTCTTCTACTTCTTAAACAAAAAAATCATTAACAAGCTCATTATTCAATAACTTATATCACTGTCATCTTGCTCTCTCTCCAGTTACATTCATGACTCCTATTTATTTCTATTTGGAAGGTGACAGAAACATTATCATGTATACGTTTATCATAATGTGAAATTGACACTTTTTTAACCTGAAATCCTAATTATAACTCGAGATCTAAATTCTAAAATTATAACTTATTGAATATCTTTTCAAATTGATTTAAGTCAATATTCAAATTTAGTATAACATCACAGCTTGTTATAGATTCGACGTTAGATCACCTTTAATCGTAAAAATTATTGTTCTTACATTTTTTTTAATATAATTAACTCGAGGCCATAAATTTATCATACCTTTATGAGATGGAATAGCCCAAAAATTCATGTTCTATCAATTGAAATAATAGTTTATTTGGATTATATTGTGAAAGATATGAAAGCATAAAATATCACTCTTACAAAAAGATTATATTTTAACGCATAAAATTATCAATTTTTAGATTGAGTTTAATTGGGATGAAATAATGTATTTGTGTATAGTAAATATTCAGCTAGCAAAACAGGATGAGAAAACAGAGCACATGTTGCAACTCACGAGATTACAAATGACATATATTACAGGTTAAGGGAATAAATTAAAATTTTAACTAATGTTTAAAAAATACTGTAATTTAATTTTAAGAATTTTCCAATTGCCGTTACGTGTTTGTCTTGGAAGATGAAATGTAACTTTTTTCAATAGCCCTCTCTTAATCAATTAGATTATTCAATCGACAAGTTGTACCAAATTAAAAATAAAAAATTGAAGTTTCTATGCCTTCTCTTTCCTATGTTCCTTCATCACAGAAAGTCTAAGAAGGCAATGTATGATTTCAATTATCTGAGTCTTTCTGCAATTTGATTTAGCTACTACTCTGAATGATCTGAAGTCTCTGATCTCATTTGTCAAACCTCACCAACATATGCAAAGTCTAAGCAAAATGATTGAGGCAATACCTTTCTTTGTCTTATTTGCATTTACTCTGATTTTAGCTTTTCTACTCTCAAAATTTCTCTCAAAAAGTCAAACCAAAAATGTTCCAAAAGGGTCTCTGGGATATCCCATCATTGGAGAGACAGTTAGTTATCTTAAAGCACAAAGGCAAGACAAGGGTTATGATTGGTTGGAAGAACGGATATCGAAGTATGGTTCTGTCTTCAAAACCTCCTTAATGGGTTCTCCTACAGTATTTCTCATTGGACAAGCAGGAAACAAATTTATCCTTAGTTCCTCAGATGATGTGCTTTCTGCTAAGAAACCTCTCACCATGAAAAAAATATTTGGAAGGCAAAGCTTAGTTGAACTTAGTGGACCCAGGTACATACTATTGAACTATAACCCACTCATTTAGCTTAAGTAGTTTGTTTAAGTGTGTTTGAAAACGCTTTAAAATACCTGTAAATGGAAATCTAACGTAGAAGTTATAATTAGTAGAGTTAAAATAAATGTGGATCTGTGTTTATTGCAATGTTAATTCAAAATAATGGCACTTTGAAATGAGGTGTTTTATGTTTGGATGGATGGAGAGTTGGATAAAGGATAAGTGGTTTTTGTATAGTACGATTTTAAAAAAGTGATTTTGAAATAGTGGCAGTATATGGATAACTCATGACTGTGTTATAAGTGTTGTAGATAAAGGGAATAACTGGTGATCCTTGGATTAAATTTTGGTAGATCTGATTATGAAAGAATTGAGCTTAAAGAATTTATTTGTGTTTGGGAATGATATTTTATGTGTTTAAAAGAATTGTTTCAATTGTAAAATTACTTTTGAAGTGTAAAATAGATATATTCGTGAGTCATGCTAAATCAACTCATGTCAAAGGAAAAGCTAAAAACTTTTAACTCTCTCAATTAATCCTATGCAAAATTGATTTTGAGAATCCAAAAAAGAGTTGCCAAAAAGTTTATCAATTTTAGAATAATCAAATACTTAGCCTCCATAGTGATTTTGACATGTAACCAAACAGGTTATAGATCATCTGTTTTAAGGCTGTGTTAATTTTCATGCAGGTTCAAGTTAGTCAAAGGGGAAATGGTGAAATTTTTGAAACCTGAATGCCTTCAGAACTATGTCAAACAGATGGATGAATTAGTAAATACAACATTATTGAGAGAAATCAAGGAGAAAGAAACAATTGAAGTTGTGTTCCTCATGAAGAAACTGTCCTATGATATGGCATGCAATATATTGTTTGACATTAAGGATGAGCACACTAGGGAAGCTTTGTTTGAAGATTTTACAACAGCATTTAAAGCAATTCAATCTCTTCCCATCAATTTCCCTGGCACCACATTTTGGAGAGGCCAAAAAGCCAGGGCAAGAATTGTTAATAGGATACTTCCTATTATGAACAAAAGAAAAGAGGAACTGTCAAAAGGATTTCTAAGCTCTACTAATGACATGCTTTCATGTCTACTTGCATTAAGGGATGAAAATCATCAGCCTCTAGCTGATGATTTGATTGCTGACAATTTTATTTTTCTATTTGTTGCTAGCCATGACACATCTGCTACTCTTATGAGCTTGATGATATGGAAGTTATCTAAAGATCCTGAGGTTTACAATAAAGTTTTAGAAGGTAACACTTAAAACTTAATGTTTAGATTTCCAAAATAAAAATGAGAGTTAGTCCAATTAGTCCTTATTTGACATTTTTTAGCTAAATTCCTTTGCGTAGAGCAAATGGAAATTATAAAGCAAAGGGAAGGAACAGAAGAGAGGCTAACATGGACTGAGATACAAAAAATGAAATACACATGGAGAGTTGCTCAGGAATTGATGAGGATGATGCCACCATTGTTTGGTAGCTTCAGAAAAGCACTTCAAGACATTACCTATGAAGGATATGACATACCAAAAGGGTGGCAGGTGACATTTCCATCCCCAAAATTTCACAAATTAGCCACATTATATTTTGAAAAGTGCCTATTGCTACTCTCATGTCTCTGTTGTCACTCCTGTTTAAGAATTTGTATGTAAAATACTCTTATTATTAGTATGTTATAAGAAATAAAAAATAATAATATTTTAAGACAAAAATCACATGAATAAGAGTGACAACAGACACACTTATTTTGTTTTTGCCAAACTTTAATGTTAAATTGGTTTCTTGTTAAGGTGTATTGGGCAGCATGTGGAACGCATATGAACAATGGTATATTCGAGAATCCACACAAGTTTGATCCATGTCGTTTTGAAAATCCAACCAAGCCAATTCCACCTTTTTCTTACATTCCATTTGGTGGAGGGCTTCATTATTGCATTGGAAATGAGTTTGCCAGGGTTGAGACATTGACTACTATTCACAACTTTGTAAAGATGTATGAATGGTCACAAGTAAACCCAGAGGAGCCAATTACTCGTCAACCAATGCCATATCCATCCATGGGTCTCCCAATTAAGATCAAACCCAGATGCAATATGTCTTAGGATTCGTTATTCAATTCCAATTCCATTGTTTAGATGTATTATCTATAACTTTAGTATTTTAATATATATATATATATATATAAAAGAAGAATATTATATTAATAATTTATATATTAATAAATTATATAATTATACTAAAGTTAAAGGAAAGTTTCAGTATAAAAATTTTTAAACTTAAATTAATATAAGAAAATTCTATCATATATATATATATATATATATATATATGGTAATTAAAAAAATTTAGTTATTATCAAATAAATCATTTTTATTTAATATAAATTATTTAAATATAACTTAAAAATCAATCAAAAATTAAATATAAACTTTGAAAAATATTAGACAATACAAATTTTAAAACTGCTCATTGACAATTTCATTTACTCTTAATTTGCATCAATTATTTCTTACAAGGTGCAATTAAAAATTTCAGACAATGGACTTGTCAGATACATTAATTATTTATGAGAATAGGTGTAAAATCAATTCAAATTAAAAAATTTTAGATACTTGCTAATAAAATAACATAAATTAAAGACAAACAAAGATTTTTTTAAGTTTTTAAAGCTTTTATTAGTTAGAAACTTGCATGGACAACAAAAACAACAATGATTTTTTAAGTACATCAATAGTTTTATCTTGCTTTATTTTATATATTTTTTTCTCGTTACATAATTTGATAAACACTATTATAGATTCAAATAAAGATGGATAATGACAAATATGATAAACATAATAAACACCGACGTTTATAAATTTTAATTTAATTTAAACAATATTTTAAATCATAAAAAAATATATTAATATATTAATATAAATATTAAAACTATCAGAAAAATACTGACTTATTGACAAGACGAACATGAAAAAAAAAATATTTTCTATATTAATTATTATGAACGATCAATGTAGAAAATGACAATTTTTTATATTGATTATTAACAACCGAGATATAAAGTCTAGCATGTATCTACATTAGTTACAAATTAACGTAAAAAATTTTTTTAACCCATATGAAAAGTCTTTTTTACTAGTAATTAACTATGAGTTTTACATGAATTTTTAATGTAGTATCTATACATGTAAAGACAGCAAAAATCAAACTCTTGAAATACCTCTCTTGCTGTGAGAAAGAGATGTATTAAAATCCTAAACCTAGTATCAGATAATATAAATCTTACATTGATGAGTTAATAATTAATTAAACAGTATATTAAAAAGATATGAATTTAAAATGTTTACTGCAAGCATTTTAGACAAACAGACCAAACATACATTTTGAATTCATAATCATACGTGTTTATATACTATTTAATTAATTATTAATACATAATCAACGTGATAATTTTATTTATTCCATCTTAAGTGATATTCCATATTTTTTTTGCATATACACCTTAGAATTAGTGCTAATCTACCAATGGAACTTCTATAGTCTAACCTAGCTAGATACCAATAGTGTCATTTCTTAAAATATACTAGTGCAGGCACTAGCCGGCAGGGTTAGCTTTGGCAAGCTTTTCAATATTTAACTTGTGCACATTCTAGCAACTTGATCTATATACAATTTTAACACGTTGTATTTCTTGTTTAGAAAAACTATGAGTCATCTTAGATGCATACAAACTAGACATCGGCAATTATTTTGATGCAAGACTTTAGTAGTTTGTACCATTAGCTAAAGTTTAATATTTTTGGTAGTATGTTTCAAGTCATATTATTTATTATTATTTTCAAAGAGGGAGTTGTGATGAGCAGAGAAAGCAGACAATATACAAATAATCGACTCTATATAACTTTCACATGCATACATGTTATTCTCTCTCATTTAATTTAATTTTGTTAATAATTTTTCAGCATATGCAAGTCCTCGTATTATTAAAAAAAGTATTTAGTATATTTTTATAACTTTAATATAATTACTTTGTAATTTTTTTATAATTTTTTTTATTTATAGATACTCAAACTCAACGTTTAAGGCTGAGATTAATAATTTCTTTTATAATAATAAAAATCTTAGTATAAAATGATATATATAAACAAAAAATATTAATAAATATTATTTGTGATTTTATATTTTTGTTTTAAAAAATTACTTGATTAAAGTTAACTACTTCCAACAAAAACATGAATCTATAATTTTCATATCTAGTATAAAATGAAGTAGCTTACTGTGAACCATTTAAAATTTGAATATATTATATAATTCTTATGTGAGCTATATTTTTAGATAATATGACAATGGTCTAATTTAGATAAAAAAAAATTATAAATATTTATAGATAAAAATTAAATTAAAATATAGTATTTTTTGATAACTTGAAATTAAGTTATATATTCGTGTACATAAGTTAATTTTGGATTTAAAACTAAATTTAATTTATCTTATTTTTTATTGAAAAACTATTGAAATTAAATTAAAATATGAAAACTTTATACTAATAATCTAGTAAAAGTTATGCCACATAAAATATTGAAAACCTTAACCATAAAAATTGTACAGAGAGTTTCATTATTTTGGGTGTCCAAGTACTCCTTTGAATTGTAATAAGTATATGGAGTGAAACATGATGTAGATAGAGGATAATTAGATATACACTATTGGGATGCACAGATTGTATATAGTATTGGGGGTATATTTACTTGTATGTTATTTAAATGAATCGGTTTAGTTATTTAAATTATTAAAAATTAATATTAGGTATATATATCAATTTTCATATATTTTAAACTATTATTAAAAATATTTTTTAAATACCACCGAACACGTGACCAATTTTTAAAGAGGTTTGAATTTAAATCTCAGTAAATGCAAATAAAATAAATATATAAAAATAAAAAAATAATAATAGAAATTAAAAGAAGAGATCATATTTTTATTAAAGACCGAAATTTTATTAATGTTTTAATTTTATATGTTATTATTAAAAATTTAAATGTAGATCAAAGAATAAAATTGAAGAAAGTAATTTTTTATTTATATATTTTTCAATTTATTGTTAATTTATTAGATCTTATAGTTTTTAATAAATGGTAAATTTTAATTAAATATTATAATATTTATTGTTATAATATTATGAGTTTTAATAAAAAATTAATATATATAATTTTTTTATGATATACTATTAAATACACGGTAAGAAAAATAAAAATAAAAATTAAAAGTAACAATTTTTAAATAAATGTATAATAATATGTTCACTTTCATAAGTAATATTATATCCGTTCATATTTACATGTTTAAAGAGAAAAAAATTATGCATACCAATAAATGTAATTATTTTGTTAAAATAATTGCTAATTAATTTATCATTTATTTGTAATTTGTTTTTACTTGTAGACTATTTAAATAATATAAATGAAAATATATTATTTAAATAATAAAAATTTAATATTATATTAATTTTTTACATAGATTAATAAATAATTTTTTTAACTTTGGTGTAATATTAGTATAATACTGTCAACTAAATAAAATACATTATAACTATAATTTTTACATAAATATTTACAAAAAATAATATATGTTATTCACATAAAAGTTTATAATTAAATAATACTATTTAAATTAAATTTTTAAAATAATATTTTAATAATTTTGATAAAAGAATCATGATTTATTAATTTTTTAAGGAATTCTCTTCAGTTAGACCCGTAAACCAAACGTATTTTAATGTTACTGTCGTTAACTTTAGAACTCTACTAAAAAATACTAACAATTAAAAAAATTGAGAAAAAATTTAATATTTTTTAAATTTGATACTAAAAAATTAAAGATGAAAAGCTTCTATTAAGGAAAATAATATTATGTTGAAAATAATAAATATATTTTTAATATTTAAAATCAATTTTAAAAATAAGATTAACAAAATATTTATATATTTAGATTTTAATAATAATAATCATTAATGCGTTTGCAATATAAATCATGAAAGCACTTGTAGTTTTCACACGTCTCGTCCTTAATTTTAGTACATTATTAATTAATAATTCATTATTAATAGCGATTAATGAAACTTTGGTATTATAAACCTTGGAACCCACGATTTCTTTTGTACTCCCTCTGTATCATATTCTGGGGTTTAAGGTTGTCATGCACCGACCAAAAAACATTAAGTAGTTTATTATTATACTTCTGACTTAAAATACTTTTATTTATCTTTCTCCAACATTTTAACTTAAAATGTTAGAAATTAAACTTGTTAAAAAATAAAAATTTATTATTAGCTACAAACTTATTATAAAGAAAATAAATTTGAGTTAAATTTTTTATCATTATAAAAGAAAATAAATTTTGAATTAAATTTTTTATCATTATAAAAAAGATAAATTCAACTCTCGTATGTCTCTTATCTTTCTCTCAGTTAAATTAAATTTTTATCATTATAAAAAAGATAAATTCAACTCTCATACATCTATCATCTTTTTGTCCGTTACCCACCCCAACTCTAATCTCTATATTTTTCCCGTTATCTACACCCCTTCTATTAATAAATCCCAACCCCTTCCTGCATCTTAATTCTAATTCCAACTTCAACTCTTGTACCCCTCCCATCTCCCTTTCTATTACTCATCCTAACTTCAACCTCCACACATTTTTCATTGCCCACACTCCTCTCGTTACCAAACTCTAATCCTTCCATACATCTTAATCTCAACCCCTCTTCTAATTCTCCTACTTTTTCTATCTCCCTCTCTGCTATCCACTCCAACTTCAATTTTCACACTCCTCTTGCTACTTACACTCTTACCATCACTCAACTCGAACTCCTCCCCATATTTTAATCCTAACCTTAAAAGAAAAAATATACACATTTTTTGTATGCAAAATTTTAAAAATCTAACTTTCCTCTTTTTCTCTTGAGTAAATAATCGCGAATGTGGATAAAATTTTAAGTTTGTACATATGTAGATGTCTCGCTGAATTCAACACAATCTCAATGAACATAAAAATGTAATATATTAATAATAAGTATTATAAGAGGATGGGAATTGGGGTT